ATAGACTAGGGAACAATCGTGTGCTGCTTTAGAGGTGCCGAAGTGTTGCTGTGAATGAATGATATCGGTAGATAAGTACAGTTGGTCTTCTCAAGTCTAAAGAAATCACGTTATTTCAATAATATATCATATTATACTTCTAGTGACATTGTATTTTATGAAACATCTATCATGCCTTCGCGCTCGCTCGTCACGCCTATGTTCAATCGTCGCCGTCGTAAAAAACTGAACGAAACGAGTCCAAAACGAAACAGCTTTCTTTTATGTAAATGATGGTTCTGGTGATGGTATGCCCTCCGACGCACACCGCTTCTTGGTCAACGACGATAAAGAATCCGAAGTTGTTGATCGGATTATTTACTATGCCTCCAAGTTGGAGGATGTCGAGCGGACGCACAAGTTGTAAGATAAATCTTTATATTATATTATATATTGGAGAGCATGTCAGATGCCGATATTGTTATAAAGTAGTTGTGGTAAAATCTTCTTCCTACAGTACATACCGGTAGCGGTAGCAGTAGTGCAATTGTCAGCAAACGGACACGACTGCCTACTGTTCGTTAAAGGTATCTTCCGTGATCATCACCGCAAAAAGCATCACAAAATGAGAAGTCTTTATTTCAACTTCTTTTGTGGACGTATTGCAATTCAAAGTAGAACGTCAAATCATATATATATATATATACATACATTCATTCTACACAAACACAAACGCAAACACACACAAGATAGATGAATCCAATGTTATTACACTTTGAACGTGTGCTATCCAGACGAGCCGTCCCAAACTTCTTCCGCACCAATCCGGTCGAAGTCGTCGTCGTCGCCGCCCAAAGTTCATCCTCGTCGGCTCCTCGTCGGTGTCTTTCCTCCTCCCATGATGACCAACAAGCTGGTCACTCATTATTGCTGGTCGACCATCTAGAGTACCTTGATGAAATGTTGGAGCATACGGCCAAAATGGAGAAGAAATTGGAAGGATTGACAGCGATCGATGCCCAAAAATATGATGCCGTTACGATGAAGACTGCTGGTTCCGCCACTCATAGTAATGACCAAGAGCTCATCGATATCTTGTTTCAACAAGCGGCTGTGGAAAAGGAAGAACTCGCAAAGCAGCTTGTGGACTTGAAGAATATGATGATGCGAGCCCAAAACAAAACATATTATGCTGTCAATAGTCCTGACGGCATGTCGGACGCAGACTTGGCTAGCGACAAAGCCGAAGTGGATCGGATCATTGACGAGGCCTCCAAATTGTCCGAGGATAATACTAGTACTGCTACGGAAGCGGTCGAAGAGGAACCCGAGTTCTTGGACGAAGCAGTCGAGGAGGCCATCGAGAAAGCGAAAGCTCAAGAACGTGACTTGTAATTGAATTGAATTGAATTGTATTGTATTGCAATTGTATTGAATTGTATTGCAATTGGAAAGTATCATATACATGTCGGTTAAAATACTAGCTACTAGTAGCAGCCGCTGCATTCCCCTATCCCTTGTTCGTAAGCAGCATGCACCCACCACTGATCCATTCATTCGATCATCCGATGCTAAAAGAAGCATATAGAGCGACCATGAATATCGTCGTATATATAGTCCTAGCTATCATATACAGGTATACATTTTAAAAATATAAATACATTTGGTAGTATAATATGATATGATAATACATTGTTTCCACTATTATTATTTCAAAAGTGGTCGGCGGTCATCATGCATTCGAACTTAAAATGATGTGATTGTATGTTATGTGGGTTTCATTTCAGTACAGTCTCCGCAGAGAGGAGCAATGCAAACGCAGCAGTAGCAGCAGTAGCAGCAGCAGCAGCAGGAAGGAAGGATGCCACATTGCTAAAAGATGACAGTGGTTCCAGGATCAGCTAGATTTGTTATCGTGTCTAGTAGTTCCTTCTTCTTTATACGAGTATAGTATATATAGTTATAATATATTAATATATAATTTATATAAAATATATCGATGGCCTCGGTGGTGTAACTTTTGGCATTTTGTGTGATATGGGATGATTCCTTGATTCATTCTCGGCGACGCGTTCCATTCCATTCCATTCCGTTCTTGGTTCACTCCTCACAGTAGGCAGCAAAGCATTCATATGTAGCGTAATATGTATAAATAATGAGGAACTTTTTTAGGATGAAACAACAGTAGTGTCTTGGTCGTCGTCGTCAGATGATGATTCAAGATGATCATGATGATGCTGATGATGATGATTTCGAAACTCGTCGGCACATTTTGCCGCCGTCTTGGAAAGGGTTTGAAGGTAGGCGACAGTAGTATTGTCCAAGGATTGTTTTCGGTAATTCTTGAGTTCTTCAATAAATTGATTGGCTGGTTTGGAAAGTTTGGATTGCACCATGGAATCAACCTTTTGTGGTTCGACTTGCTTGTAAAGTTCGTTGCGTAATTTGGAATTCTCAACCTTGAGAGAATTCAAGGATTGTTGCAGATCGTTGGTAAGCGATTTGCGTCGTTGTCGACTTTTTTTGGCATGCCTTCGATTGCGCTCCTTGCGTTGATCCTCCAATGTATCCGTCTTGTCTAGTTGTAGTCGTCGTGCCATGGGTTTCGTCGGTTTGGATTGGATCGTTTTGTTGATACTAGCCGTAGTGGTAGTGGTGGTGGTCGTAGTAGTGGTGGTGGGCATGGGTCTTGGTTGGTGCACCTTCTTGAGTGGAGGAGGAAGGTAGCAGGAAACATCACCACCACCAACATCACCGCCGTTATAATAATAATAATAATCCAGAGGTCGTTTCTTGGAGGGAGCGAGTTGACTCACTAGTGGAACTTGGTAATTTGGTAATGACGGCATGGTAGAATGCATCGGCATAATAGTAGTTGACGACGATGATGATGATGAAGATGAAGAAGACGATAGCATTTGTGGTGGAACCATTGGGAGAGCTACCATGTTGGGTTTTGGAGCAAGCATTGGTCTAGACGACGACACTACAGCACTGGTAGCAGTAGTGGCAGTAGTGGCAGTAGCGGCAGTTGTGGCAGTAGTAGGCAATGCCAGTGTCTCATCGAAATAACTCGCATCCAAATCTTCGAGGTATTGAAGAGGGTTTGCGATATTAAAGTCCATCATTTCGAGTTCGATCATGGTTCGGTACTGTACGGTACTTTACGGTACTGTATAGCTGATGGCTGATGATACTTGATGATGATGAATGATGATGAATGATGATGATGAATGATGATGGTTTGGATACGGTACGTGTACATGAACGAAGACGAACAAATGAATGAGTTGACGGGCGAATAATGTACTCCAACCCAAGAAACGCCCCAAAAATGACGGATGATTACATCTGACGTGGGATAATCGTCCAATATGATTGGCCAAAATGAACTCTACGCGACTAATCCAAAGACTTGTCGATAATTAGTGCCCAGGAAAAATGAGGAAGCAAACATGGTGACGGTTCTGCATGCGTACCGGTAGGAATAAGCCAGAATCATCATCATCATCCTCTCTTACCGGGGTACACCACGATATATAAAAAAGAGCAATGACGATTGATTCTTCATCTCTACTAAACTCTCTCTCAGAGTTGGGTTTTAAAAAAAGAGCAACACCATGTATGAAAGAAGATGCATTTCAACAATATGAAACCAGCATCATGATGATCAAATAATATCCCGCCCAGCAGCCTTGCTTGGGCCGTCCTGCTGTCCGCTGGCGATGGCTGTCCATGCTGATTAGTGTCGTATATAGTAGTAGCTGCGGTGTTCCTCAAGTCAACGACAACCACCACCACCAGTGATGATTCTTCATATCTAAACTTTCTCAAAGCTGGGCAGCAATGGCGAGAAATGATGATGAAGGAAATAAGACTGCGGCGCGACTTCGAGACTGGTGGTTCTTCCTCCTGGTGGTGGCTGTCAAATATATATGAAACACAACGACAACCAAAATGATTTTCACTGAATAATATATTGAAGTGATAGGACCACATGGCTGGTGGAAGAATATTATCCTTGCAGCCATGGGGCATCGACCAATGATACCTACTGTTATATTCATATATTTTTGTATGTAACCATTATTCCATAACAACTACATTCTTTTATATATATGTTTCTTGTCCTCGCTACTAGATAAACCGCATTACTATAGTTCATCATGTGAGAAATGAATGAATGAATGAATGAATCATACAATACAATACAATACAATACAATACAATATATTAATATTAATATTAATATTTACTCGATCAGTTGAATGTCTCGACAACCAAGCAATCCTTGCAATTGACTGGCCACTGTTTTCGCTTGGGCAATGCTTTCGGCACTCTTGGGTCCAAATCGAAACAAGACATTGGTGCCAGGTTTGATGACTCCTGCTTCGTCCAATTCCAATACAATATCGACGGCCGAACCTTTGTCATCCTTATGCTTCGGTTGCGTCTGTATTTGAAAGTCTTGCGAGACGACTTCCAATAGATTGGGATCGAATTGATGGACTTGACCATTGGTGGCCACGTACAAAAATCCAAAATCGGGAATGTGGACCATGGCCACCTTTTCGGCAGAAGAATTCGACTTTAATTCGTCCAAAAGTTCATCGGGTATCATGGCCTTGTCAAAGTCTTCCGCCACGTCTGGATTTAAGGTAAGCAACGACGGTCGGTCGATGGAGAGGGTGTTCAGTTTGGGTCCGGGCATTTTATGATTTATTTATATTGTTGTTGGTGGAAGCTTTGAATGTATTTTTGTGGTACAGTATGGAATGGCGTGTGATATGATATGATATGATATGATATGATATGATATGATATGATGTGATACGATGTGATAGTATGAACTTGTACTCGTACTTGTATGGATGACCGTTCAGAGTGTAGCAGTACAACAAGATTTTGGTTTGTGTTTTTGGTGAGTTCAGAGTCGAAGAAATCCACAGAGTTCCGTCTGTCTGCGTTGGAGGTACCAGTGTACGTGTACCGTACGTCAGTGGTAGGTAGACAACTTCACATTGATTGATTGATTCCTACGAATGAATGAATCATGAGAAGGTCCCTCTTCTCTACGTGGCCTTTTGGCCTCACGATTCCAATGCGCCGTTTTCACGCGTGCAGGATTTTGAACGAAAGCGCATCTCTCGAGTGAGTGAGTGAAGGAAGTCGATCGAGAGAAACCCAAGAATCATCATCATCATAGAAGGTTGTAGGATAGTATAGCAAATTCTACTCTACTCTATTCTATTCCCCCGGTCAATTGCTAATTGCCAATTGCTAATTGCTAATTCCTAATTGCTAATCAATTCAAAGAAAACAATGGCCGACCTTGCTGACATTGATGACGGAGATCTTCCAGAGCCTTCGCTAAAGAATATTATTGATCAAACCACACTGCAATGGGTCTTTGTGGGAGGAAAGGGTGGAGTCGGAAAGACTACTACCTCTTGTTGCTTGGGAGTTCAGCTTGCCAAGAGTCGCAAAAAGGTGTGTATCTAGTTTGTCTGTGTGTGTATTGATTGTATATATAGTATTGATGTGATCTTTATTGATTGATGTCTACCGTACCGTACCGTACCATTGTATCGCACCATTGTATTGTATTGTATTGTATTGTATTGTATTGTACCATACAATACAATACACGTACACCAATGCCATCATTCCATTCACATGTGTGTCTCATATTCTATTTTTCTTCTCTTCTTTTCTTGTTTTAACACGAATTATATTTCTATGTAGGTCCTGTTGGTTTCCACAGACCCCGCACACAACTTGAGCGATGCCTTTTGCCAAAAAATTGGTCGCGAACCCACTCCCATTGAAGGCTTTGACAATTTGTCCGCCATGGAGATTGATGCCAACAATGACATGGAAGAAATGCAACGCAACATGAATGATCAAGGCAGCGAGGAAGCAGATGGTGGTTTGTCCGCCATGATGTCGGAACTCACCAACAGCATTCCGGGGATTGACGAGGCCATGTCATTTTCGGAACTCATGAAGCAAGTCCAAGGCATGGACTTTGATGTCGTTGTCTTTGATACGGCACCTACTGGTCACACTCTGCGTCTTCTTTCCTTTCCTACCATTTTGGAAAAGGCTCTTGGAAAAGTCATGGAACTAAAGGACCGATTTGGAGGTTTGATTGGACAAGCCACGGCCATGATGGGAGAAAATCCAGGAGCCACTCAAGATGCTATTTTGGGACGATTGGAAGAGACACGAACTGTCATTAACAAGGTCAATGATATGTTCCAAGATCCTGCCATGACTACCTTTGTCTGCGTCTGCATTCCGGAATTCCTTTCCATTTACGAAACGGAACGATTGGTCCAAGAACTTTCCAAATTTGGAATTGATTCCCACAACATTGTGGTCAACCAAGTGCTATTCCCAGAAAAGGATGCGGAAGAATTGGCCGAATGGTACGCCAAGACCAAGGACAGTCTGCCAAATGAGGCAAGAGAAATCTGCTCCAAGATGATGGCCCGAAAAAGGATGCAAGACAAGTACATTGGACAATGCTTTGATCTTTACGGAGAGGACTTTAATGTTACATTGATGCCTCTTTTGGATTATGAAGTCAGGGGTGTGGAACGATTGAAGGAGTTTTCCGAATTTTTGACCAACCCTATCGACATGGAAGAGTAAAATAAAATACTCATACTAATACATATACGAAGAAACGTGTGCATTGCCTTGAAGGTGTTGCCTACCAAGTACTACTGTTTCAAAAATAGTATACAGTATTGATAATATATTATTCTTTTGGTAGGTACCAGTACATTCTTGAGTATATTTTGTTTCCTGTTTAATTTTAAATGTGTTATACCGTATTGCATGTCGATGACCGAATGAATCATCATCAACAGTCTCCAGCTATACGGTAGTATTTTATCGTCATCACCACTCAGAATAGCAGTTGGAAAACGGAGAACCTCAACAGAGTTCCAATTCCATTACAGTATCCTAAATCCAGAAACAGAAAATAATGTCGTAGGACACTGCCTGTTTCGTCACCGCACATCACAACATCCACATCTTGAAGATGACGATGAGAAGACGACCCTTCAAAAATTGACTTCCTGAGAGAGTGAATCAATAAGAGCGATACCGGAAAGACATCCTCCCTGAAATACAGTACCGGCCTCAATGTTTATTGCAGGGCTGCTCTCTCGTATCGCTTCAATATATCCTATCCTATTCTGCATGCATGTATACGTACATGATTTCATCTTTCATCCGACCACATGGACCAGAACGACGGACGTGCACACGGAGGTTTGGTTTTTATCGTTGACACACTTTTTTTCTCTCCATAAAACAAGAAGAAAATCACAACAAACGGTATAAATTGACACAGCACTCGCATTGTTCGCATTATCCTTGAACCATGGCAAAGAAGAAGATACCATTGACGGAACAAGAACAAAAGGAAAGGCAAGCAGTTTACAGACGACGCAACAGAGAAAAACAAAAAGCTCTCGAGGCAGGAGAAGACGTAACTATTCGCTCGCTTGCCGACTTGTCTCATATGAGTCCTGCGCAAAAGAAGGCCTACTTCAAGAGGAAGAACTGTGAGTACCAACAAAAGTGGAGGGATAAGAAAAGGGCAGAACGAGAAGCCTTAAAGGCGGCAGCAAAACAAGCCAAGTCAGACAACGAGGGCACTGAGGATAACGAATCCATCATTAGCGATTTTTGCGAGGACGACAATTCCGCTTCTGTCGCTTCTATCGCTTCTGCCGATGGCAAAGTCACTTCCAGCCCATCTGCTGGACGCAGCCGCTACCCAAGAGAAGCCAAGCGCAAGAGTCCCATTGCCGAAGTCATTACTCTGGACAGCGATGGCTCGTCTAGTAGTACCGAAAGCAAGAAAGGCGCTTGGAAAGTGGAAGGAGAAGAATCGCTCCCAATCGAGCAAGGAATAGCAGCAAAGAAGCAGCAACGAACTCCTGTTCCAGTCAAGAAGGAGCAACAAAGTTCAGTCAAGAAGGAACAAAGTGCAGAAGACACATCCAACAGTCGTGGAGAAAAGAGAGACAGCAGCCATGCCCTCGATTTTACCGATGGAAAAGACCTCCCCGCTTGCAAAAAGCGAGCAAGTTCCAATCAACCTTCTGGAGTGAAACTCAGCCCAGAAGGTGCAAAGCTCGAGCAAGAAAATGAGCAGTTGCAAGATGAGGTCAAGCAATTGAAAGCTCTAAACGGACGATTGCAAGCTCGAGTCAACGAGTTGGAAGGCAAAGGAGATTCTTTGGAAGAGGCTGGACCGACACTCTGCCAAGATTGTGCCCATGTCAATCGCCAGAACGCAGAATTGCACGGTTGGATCAATGACCTCGAGACTCGTCAAGCTCCAATCCAACACCTGGAAGCCGAAATCGATGTCTTGAAAGATCAAATGCGAACCATTCATGCAATGTCGGGGTCTACTCTCATTGGAGAAGAGAATTCGATTTAGTATTCTTCTGTCCAAGGAATTGATACAATACTGGTGCATTACGTCAATGGTCATCTTTCTTGCTGTAATAGCTACAGTATGTTTCAGGGGACGAACATAGATTGGAATGAATCCATTGACTGGCTGTGCACTGCTTCTTGTCATCTTGTCAAGCTCGAGTGACATAAATACATATTTAGATAATGACTACTACAGCCGTCATTCATAAGGCTGCCACGAAAAACAAATAAACAACATATAAGCAACTCATGTCATACCATTGTTACTATGTCCAACCTTGAGAAAAATTCATCCATCCACTTTGATGCTCTCCTTCTCTCCCTTCATTTGAATTTGGGTGAACTATTCATTTATTCCATTCTATTGCGGAATGATCTATGAATTCCATACTGAAGGCATCACAATCAAAAGTGAAATTGAGGAGTCAGTCATCACTTTGCGCCCGCATACTGATCTGCCGACCTCTTGTTATTCAATATGATTTCATGCAGCCTCTTTGTCGAATCGAGACTCTTGTTTCATTTGTCAGTTGTTCCACATGTCCTTCTCTATTTGTTTTTAAGGTCCCGGCCAACTTTGTCTCGCAGTGGGTTGATCCATCTTCCATCAGCTTGAATAGATCCTGGTTGATCTTTTCCCTTTGATTCAAAAATTGCCCCTTGCTAGGTATTTTTCAGCTTCAATAGGAGGGTGCATAATATGTATCGGTACGACTATTGTTGTATGATATCGGAGCCAAACTTGCATTTCGCTCATCACATATCAGCAGCCACATCGCCTCAGCATATCACTTCCTTTTCCTTGCGCACGAATAAATCTTACTGAGATACTACCTTATCATCATCCCGACACCACTAGCATTGAAACAAAAAAGTGGTTCTTCGCAAATTCATTCATTTCAGCCTCCTCAGCATAGCATCACTATCCATTCCAAAACCACCAGTGCACACCCATACATTGTGTCGTACCTATTCAATGATTTGGTGAAACTTCAAACAAGAATATTTCATTTTGGTCCGTCTGATTGACATATCGCCAGGCCAAACATTGAACGGACCACTTTCGGTCGTGTTGTATGGCCGTCAGAATCTTGTCCACGGTAGTAAACATGCTACTCTCACTGCTGTCACTACTCTCAGGCGTCGTCGTGCTACCATCTCGTCGTTGAAAGCTCAGTAGTAATTTCGCATTGGGATTGTGCTGAAAGACGTATTGGACTGTATCAAAGAGAGGTTCCATCATGGAAACCAGCCAGACACAATCACTCGCAATTACCACTTCTATCTGACCAAGAATATTCTCAGATGATGACGATGAGTCAGCAGAATTGGTTGTGCTTGCTTTGGAGGCTCGAATATGTTGCACTTGTTCCGGCAAAGGAATGGTCCAATCCACCGCCGTCGAAGCTGCCCAGCCTTTGCCGATTCGCACGGCATTCGATGGCAACCATGATGGACGTGGTGGTGACGACAGTACTATTTCCGTGTCGTCGTAATTAGCTCGAAAAGACTGCTGATTTTTATTGTTGGCATTCCGTTGCAGATTTGGTTGCGTCGAGTTTTGTACCAGTGTCTGCAAGTCACTTAGCAAGACATGAGCACCAAAGGATGCCAGTGATGCACCCACAACACCCACACCACTGCCGAGTTCCAAAACCTTGGCTCCGTTGGCCATCCTTTCTTGCCATGTTCTTAATCGAGGGCTGTCATGATTATTTGAAGCATCAACAAACGTCATGGCTTCCACAACCAGTCGAGAACCAGGCCAGACTTGAAATCCAGTCTTACCTGCCAAGGTGTATCCAGTGTCAAAGAAGAAGGGATCCATGGCGCCGTCTTCCTCCTTGGTTGCGGCAGGTTCGTCTTCCATCAAAACTCCACAGGAGGGTTCCTGACAAGAAAACGTAAGGAATTTATTTGTTTCTGGAAGTGTACATTGAAACATGACGACTTGACCCGAGCCGCTGACATCATAAGCATAGTGATCATGAGCAACATCATCATCGTCAGCATCAGCAGCAGCAGCAACGAAGTGTCGTTCCAAAGACTCATGGCAACGAAAATCCTTGGAAGCTGGACGCATTAAGGAAGGATCTCCCTTGAATGGTAATGCAATTATTTCCTGCATGAAGACGATAGGATATACGATGTTGCAAGATACAATATATGAAGAGGATAACTCTTATTTGTTGGTACCAGTACAGTATTGAGTATATTATGTTTCCTGTGTAAATGTGTTCTATTGCATAATGACCGAATGAATCATAGTCTACCGGTATAATATAATATTTATCGTCATCATCACTCACATCTTGTTCAGAATAGCGGTTGGAGAAATGGAGAATCAAAGAGGCGTAACAAACAGAAAATAATGTCGTATAGGACAAACTGCCTGCTTCGTCACCACATCAGAACCGCAGATCTTTTCTCATCACACCACGAAATAACTTCTGCTTGTTGACGACGATGAGAAGACGACCCTCCAAAAAATGACTTCCTGAGAGAGTGAGTCAATAAGAGCGAGCCCGGAAATCCTCCCTAAAGTACAGTACCGGCCTCAATGATTGTTGCAGGGCTGCTCTCTCGTATCGTTTCGGTATGCGTTGGATGCTTCCAATTTTTGCAGAACCGAATGACCATTCAATCACACCGCCGATGATGAAGATTGAGAGAAGGAAGAAAGAGAGAGGAGGGCATCAGCAACATGTATTTATCTCTTCTACTTTCATTTGAAATCATACCATACTGAAAAGATCACTTTCATGCTTATTGCCTGAAATGGAAACTAACTTGCCATTGGTTGGAACATTGATTTATTCGACTAGAACAAAAATGTTGGAAACGAAATGATGAGGAACAATCAAAAAAACATTTTAGTCTTTGAGCTATTGTTTCTTCCATCAAACTATAGCGACTTATCGACAGCATTGCTCATTGCTGCTTTCGCCACGCCAAGAACGGGAAATTTAAAAACAATGTTGCCACTGCACAAGGCAGCTTTCTATGGAAACCTGGAACGGGTCGTCAAACTGTTGAATAGAGGAGCCGATGTAAACGAGACGGATGATGACAACGATACCCCTCTAGCCATGGCAGCCCATCATGGACACGTTGCAGTTGTCCGTCTGTTGCTAGAACGAGGGGCCACCAATTCAGTGGTGGGTTTCGGACTCACACCTCTGATGATTGCAGCCATTGAAGGTCACCGAGCCATTGTGAATCTTCTGTTGGATAACGGAGCTGAGGTAGACGAAAAAGATTATGATGGGCGCACACCTCTATATCATGCATGCGAGAGTCAAGAACTAAACACTGCCAGGCTTTTAATCGACCGAGGTGCCGATGTAAATATCGTTGAGCAAGAATGTGGATGGAATCTTTTGTTTTGTGCATGCAGCCACGGTCATTTGGATGTGGTGCAATTTTTGTTGGATCCGAGTATTGGATTTGACAATCTAGAGGGGAGGAACTTCTTCGGAAGCGCACCTTTACACTCGGTTTTTCTTGGAGGAAACACTCGAATGCAGATTGCAAGTCTATTGTTGGATAGGGGAGTCAACATTGACGCTGTGAACAAAAAAGGATGCACGCCTCTGCATTTTGCCTGTGACTCTGGCGATTTGCAAAGTGTAGAGTTCTTGGTCGGGCGTGGTGCTAGTTTGACGGCCACGAGAGAGGACGGTGTTACACCCTTTTACCTGGCATGTGCTCTCGGGTACGTACAAGTTGCTCAGCACTTGTTCAACGCTAGTCGAGATCAAATGCTCGATCTACAAAATATTCTCGAAGCAAGGGGAATTGACGAAACGACACCACTTCATGTTGCATGTCAAAATGGACATGTGCCGGTCGTTCAGTTTTTGCTTAACCAAGGATCCGATTTGGAGGCAATCGACGGGGGACTCGGGTGCACGCCTTTGATCATCGCGTCGGGTCAAGGTGAATCGCAGGTGGTACAGATGCTGCTACGCCATGGTGCGAATATTGAAGCAACGACCAACGACAATGCAACATCGCTCCACCACGCATCTCAAGGAGGACATTATGAAGTTGTTACATCCCTGTTGGAGTGGATTGAAAACAAAGGGCTCGATCGAGACTCAACCGTAGACGCAATGAGCGAGCGTGGAGGTACACCCTTGTATTGTGCATGTAAGCAAGGACACTTGGAGGTTGTAAAAATATTGTTGGATGCTGGTGCCAATGCGGAAGCAGCTGGAACTGACGAGGACGGCGGCGCCCTGCTACATGGAGCGTCGTTGAATGGTGATTTGGAAATGGTCAAGTTCCTCTTCGATACTCTGCCATCGGATTGTCGAGAAGCCAAGGACAGAATGGGATTCACTCCGTTGATTTCGGCGTGCATGGGAGGAGAAATTCAAGTTGTCCAGTTCCTCCTGAATAATGATGCCGATATCAAAGCGACGTCAGTCGATGAAAAGACATCACTGCACTTTGTTTCACTACTAGATGGCAATTATGTCGAGATGGCAGAATTATTGTTGGACTATGGCGCCGATATGGAGGCGAGGGACGAGTTTGGAGATACGCCATTGCGTATTGCTTGCGAGAATGATCATCTTCAAGTGGCAAAGCTTTTAGTGGAGAGAGGCGCAACTGTCGATGACAATAAATGGACACCATTCGAATTGGCAGAGCAAGATGACACATTGGATCTTTTGTTTACGGTGATCCGCAAAAACCCTTGGTTGTGCCAGGAGTAAGTTGATAATTGGCTTATTATCTAGAATGTACTAGACAACCATCCTACCTCTAGCTAGCAATAATATTTTATCCTAGGGTGTAGTCCTACTCGAACTCTCTGTTGTTTGTGCTTTTCTGGCGATGCTTCTTTTTTCGATTCCGCCGTTCCTTAGGCTGCTATACAATCTCTTTGGGAAACACATTATGAATCGCAGTTGTTATGCCTCAGGTCTCTTAACAACTGCAGATTTTGTTGCAGCCACCTGACGCAACTATGTACTTCTGGTCACCCATTCCACCTGACATTGAAGCAAAACTTTACTCAGATTTCTGCTGCCGAAGGACTGGAAAAAGTGAGTTGTTTGGTATGGGCTTGAATCTTCGTAATCTCACTACTGCCGTCTAGTGGTTCAAATTGTGTTGGATCCAATGGTGCATCTGTACGCAAGCAGAGCCGAAGAAAGCCTCCGACGGGCTTGTTGTTCACCACCAAAGGAAAGTCACCGGCAATGCAGTTCCGGTTCAAAAGATGCTTCAACTCAAGCACAACTTTTCCAAGATGAGAAATGGGCAGGTCGGCGGATGGTTCCTTCGTTTCCGTTTTCCAAAACCATGACGACTTTTCCTGGGCTTTCTCTATAATATTTGGATTATAGTTCAAGTGGAATTCCACCTTCTTTCGTTGCATACGCCGTATCAGTGACCGTTCCTTCGTTGTATCACCACGAGGAAGCCAAACTTTGTGTGACGATCCAAGGAAATGGATTGTTGAGTTGACACTTGCGACAGCTTTCTTCTGAGCATCGGCCTCATCAGTGATGATATCTGCGTCCGTCGATTCCGTCAACGGCGGAAAGGAGAACGTGGTCCATTGTGGAGAGGCAATGCCATTCTGAGATTCATCCTTTGTAGATGGTGCCTCGGCATCCTCTACAGGAGGCAATTGTACCTTTCCGTCGACTTGAATCTTTCTATAGACTTCAGTTTCGACTTCCGCAACCTGCAGCCCGTCCTCCTTGATCCCTTGCTCCTTTCGCTTCTTCTTGATGAGTTTCTGAATCGTCTTATTGTCCTCCAGTCGAAAGGCTTCAACAATTGCCGCCTCCATCTTGCCTTCCAGAGAATCGACAGAAGTTCCTTGTTCAATCATGAGCGATACAAACTGTTGATTGTCCATCTTGACATCGCCAGCACTTTGGCTACTCGATTGAATGGCCACAAGTCCAGAAGCCTTTGGATGTGCCAATTGGATTGCACCAGAACCTTCCTTTTCGACTATTTGAATTGCGTTCCGACATTGTCCCAAGTACTCTTTCCAGAGTGCGGACTGCGCCGATCCTGTTGCCTTGTCCACGAATGCCTCATAGAACGAATACAGCTGAAGCTGTCCGAGACAAAGATCAATCTCTCTCTGAATCCTGTCTATCATTGCTTGCTTCTTGGCTGCCTCTTTGGCATCATTTTCCTTCTGCAATACCTGTTTGAGTATTTGCAACAAGGTGGTCGCCTCTTTGACCTTCTTCGCATCCTTCAATCGAAGTACCTCCGCTTTGATATCGACGGATGGTCTGAGCATCCATGGATTGGCATCCTTGGCTTTTGCATCAGGCTTTGGTTTGCCGGAGGTCGCAGTCTTTAGGTAGGAAGCTGCACCATCAGCAGAAGCCATTAAGTTTTCCAAATCTTCGTCCGTTATTACAGCACCACCATCATCAGGACCGGCTTTGGTGCAAATCTTCTCTAATCGTGAAGCTAGAAGTTTGATCTTTTTCGACTCCACGAGTTTGGCCTTGGCCATTGCAATGTTTCCATTTTGTTTGAACCCCAATGCTTCCTTTTGGCAAGTCTCTACCAATTCCAAAAGATTCGCGACACTCGGTAGGTCAACGATACCCATTTCCAAGAACTCGGATATATCAGAGTCTTCCATGGTTTCCAAATCCTGCCAGTTCATCTTTTGTTTCATACTGAGATCAGCCGCATCGTCTCCATGCTCATCGTCCATATCCAGTTCTAATGGTACATCAATGTCACTAGATCCCACAAGTTCGCCGAGTAGAGCACTCTCTTCTGCGGTCAAGTTATCTCCCCAGCCATCAAAGTCGTCAGTGACCGAACTCCCACCCAACAACACTTTCATCGCATGGTTCAATTGCTTGGCTATTCGTAAGGCCGCCGTAGCTCCAGTAACATCATTCTGCTGCTTCAGGGCCAACGCCTTTTTCTTATGTTCCAATATCCGTGCTTGATAGGCCTCTTGAGAAGGAACATCCATTCCGACCATTTGCATTTCGGTCATGGTCTCATGATCTATCATTTCTTCGTCTGAAAAGACAATCGCTGGTGGTGGTTCTTGAGACAGCAATTGTTCCTCGTCCATTTCTCTCCAACCAGCGTCTTTTTCTGTGGCTTGTGCCTCTTCTTGCTGCTGCTCAAATTCAATTTCCTTGGCTTGTTTCAGCGCAACCAAAGCACCTGGAATATCACCGTCAGCCTTCAGGTGAGCCGCCAAAGATCTTAAATATGAACACTGTAGGCTTTTGTTCGGCAACAAATCTTCCAAGGTACTAGCAGTGGCAACCCTTTTTGAGTCCTTCAAGTGTTCAAGAGCCTCTGTCGTCTCGCCAGCTTGTTTGCAAGCAAGAGCCTTCTTTTTGAGTTCCACAACGAGGTGATTCTTGGAAGCCTCCTGAAGGGCTACAGGGCTACCTTCTTCGACATTTTCATTGTCTACATTATCGACAAGGGTTTCTCCCTCATTTGTCATTCTTCGTGTGTTCCGTTATGATGTCGATTTGGTGGGTATTATTTTGATTGTTCAATCAATATTACTGTCGATGAGTGAGATGAGATCCACGATTGATTCAAAGGACCGGGGAGCTTAGGTAAAACCGGGTTTAGCGGGATTATATCTAGGTAAACCTTGGTCATCCCCGCATCAGGGGTGGAAATTTGTGGAATACGTAGTAGTCGTTCTCTTTGTCACTATCATCATCGAAGATAGAGAACGTGTGTCCATCCTTTACCTTGTCATCTCAATACACATTGCTTGAGATACAAGGACCAAATCATTCATATATTAGCGATATTTTGAGAATGACATATACTGTAAAAAATGAAGACTAATGTAAACACACACATAGTGGAAGAAGACAAAATAAACACCTACTCGCTAACATCTAAAATTTAATATCTTCGCTTTGCAACTAGTATGTATTGTTCAGCGTAAGGCAGAAAGGAACGACTTCAGCATGGTCGGACTGTAATAGCTATTTGAGGAGTGAGCCAGCAAACTTGCATATCCTCCTGTAGTAGTTATTTTTTCTTGATTCGAGACAGAATAACACCCCGGCCTTCTGGACCTCGTCTCTCGTCTTGCCTTCGTTGTATTTTTCAACTAGGCCACCATTTTAGAAACTCTTTCCTCATCATTCCCCCCATCCACCAGTGAAGGAATGTTCTCAGCAACCCCGATCGGGCTCCCGTATAGCACAGGTACTGGGCCTTTTTCGCACTTCCTAGTTCTGTACTGAGACGTCGTGTTTTGATATAATGGAGCAGGTACACTCAATTTGAGCCACAGAGTTGAAACGTTTGCAATTGGACTTTGTCGATTTGTACTTGATCACTGGCTAGGATGACCCAATCTTGCCGACGTCGGGGACTCTGAATCCGAGACCAACGTGAGAAATAAGGAATCCCTGTCCAGGTCCAAGCCTACGTATCGTTGATAGATCCTCCGAGGATATGGCTTTATTTCCAAGTCTACCTAGGTCCATAGTTTGGAGGCGGTGGCGATGACGACTTGCTTATTATCAGCAGGTTATCATCAGCGGTTCCAACGGTTGGAAAAAGTCGACAATGGATTATATTTTCATTGTCATGCTTTCCCTATATAGCACATCAACAAAATCGTTGCCCATTTCATTCTCAGTGTGACATCTGCTGCTTGGAAACGAAAGAGCAATAATGATAATGCGGATTCTCTTCTAGTGGAGTCTTCCTATATCTCTGAAGTCCATAATATACATTCATGTTCCGAAGTATATGTAGCACCGATGTATGGGCATCAACAATCAGAATTCCCTATAAATGAATGAATAAGATTGAAACAATTGTTTTAATCGTTTTCTGGAGGAAGCGATACGAACATGATATCGAGACTGCCTCCAGATGACAAGCTAGTGTTTGGTAGGTGGGTGTTGTGTGCAAACAAAACGCCCGCAGACCTCACGCCAGCAGGATAGCACAGCCCAGGAATGAATCAATCGGAGCGGAAAATCTCATTTTTGGCGACCTGTGCCACCAGAGCCAACGACGATCCGGCGTACAGCTCCAGAGGTGTAGGCTAGATTTTCATCCTTTTTTATATCTTTCACAATAGAGTACCAGGTACTATGGAAGTTTTATTTGAGTTAGTTGAGTGATTGACTGATGTTGCACAGACAGGCGTGCGCGTGACACTTTTCTTTTTCGTGTTTTTCCACGATGCTGGCGGGCAGAGATATATTGAACTTTGGGGTCACGCTTTCATTGCCTAGTGTCACGCTTTCATTGCCTAGAGTGCCTAGTGTCACACTTTCATTGCCTAGAGTGTCACACTTTCATTGGCGTAGTCACACGCCTTCATTGCCTGGGGCTACAGTAGTACCCACTTTGAATTTTCAGCCTTGACGTCAGTACGTCAGTAAAAATACGATTAAATTGCCGTTGCCAAACAAAACAAGACGCCTGCTTGCGCAGATCCCCGCCCTTTTAATTTGCCCGATTTGCCCGATTTGCCCAAACCAAACATGGCGCCAACGAAGAAATCAATTTCTATTAGAACATTGGAACAAAAGGAAGTGCAACGAGTCAAGCAAGCACTGTATCTTATCGAGGCCAAAAAAAGACAACAAGGACTACCACATAACATTCGAGCCAGGAAGGACTTGTCTCATTTGAACCCTGCGGAAAAGAAGGCCTACACCAAAGAACAGAACCGTCTACGCAAAGCAAAGTCCAGGGCTGAAAAGGCAAAACGAAAAGCCAAGGAAGCGGCAGCAAAACAAGGAATTCCTCCTCTTGAACCTCAAGCATTCGATACAATCCTTGCAAGCATTATGGAGGACGCTCCTTCAGCTCAAATATCTGTCCAGTTTGATCCTGGGCCAAATGACCGTCCTGCCAACCAGTCAACTCCCGCTTCGAAGCAATCCATGACGGAAAACTTTAGAACACCGCAGCAGCGATACACTTCCTCTTCTCGTCTAGCGGCGGCAATGCAGACTCCCGATGGACGTGAGCTTACGGAACAGCACTCCGCTCGAAAAGGGAAGAGGAACTCTAAACGTATAGACACCACTACACAAACATTTGCGTCGGAACGCGAAGTACTAAAAGAGCAAGAAGCGATTCTGAAGGAACGCGAAAATTCACAAAAGCAAAGAAGTGCTGCATGGAAAGAACTCATCCGCAAGGAGGCGGAGGATAGGAAGGCCAGAATTCAGCAGGAATATGAAGCTAATCAAACCAAAATTCAGCAGCAATATGAAGCCGATCAAGCCAGAAATGAGAAGCTAAAGGCCCACTGGATCGATGATGCTAAGGCTGTTGACACAAACTTTGAGCAACAGTACAATCACAAACAAAAGTACATCCATATTGCCGCAGAAGAACGCAACTCGGTTATGGAAATCTTGAAAACAGAGAGCAATGAAGAAAATGAAGTGTACGAAGCAAGTCTTGATTTCATTGCCAAGGCTACGGAACAGAAACCAGCTCCAGAAGCTGCCACAGGGCCATTCACGCCCATCACACTTCTTTATGACACGCCCATGCCCAAGGAAGCACCAGTATACGGTAAGTGCTACTCATTGTTTGACAGACGGAATTGATAATTGGAAATCGTTCTCATCCAGTTTCAAGACAATGCACCCTCAAGCCCTCCAACAGGAACATCCAATGGCATTCAGGTTCAGCCGCCTTCGCCACTAGTATATCTTCCCGATTCAGGAGAGGATAAAGATTTGAAGGGGTCTGATCGGCCATTTGGTGGGTTTTGGATTCTACATATGAATTATCATTCAATTACTTGTCTCACCCAGTTCCAACATTTGTTTTAGGGAGCAAAGTCGCTCGTCCCGAATCTACTCCGGCGACCCCAGTCCACAAAGCTGGATCAGTTGGGTCAATTTCACCATTTGATTCTCCCTCTCCAGACAAGACTACAACTGAGGACTCGAAGCCTGAGGCCAGATTGGACAACAAGGAGAATTATAATCAGACAAAACCTGCTCCTACCTCTAGTTCTGTATCCACTGTCACGTCTCCACTCAGCAACAGTAACGTGAATGCACCTAGGCAAGCAGTGTATTCCTGCCCTAAATGGTCTCCTTTTCTAGCCTCTCGCGCAGGATCCACTGCCAAGCCTCCACTGGCCAAAAGAAGGCCAAGTCTGTCCGTAAGAAGATGAAGGTCGCTTTGACCACAAAGAAGGCCAAGAAAGCTGCCATGAAGGGAACTGCACCATCTGGTTTCGGCTCTCAGCAGCCCTCTCTAGTGCTATTGAATAGAAATGGATCAGCTTTTTCCAACTCTATTCAGTCGCCAAATCCATTTGGACCACCTTTACCGGGAGCCACAACCATGAATAAAAATGAAAGTGCACCATCTGGTTTCAGTTCCCAGCAGCCGCACTCTCCAGTGTTTGGAGCACCTATGAATGGAAATGGATCAGCTTTTTCCAGCTCTCAGCAGCCGCCCTCTCCAGTGTTTGGAGCGCCTTTGAATGGAAGTGGATCAGCTTTTTCCAACTCTCATCAGCCGCCTTCATGCTTCAACACTAATCTGCCGCCCACTCCTTTTGGAGCGGACCATTCTGCTTTGCCCAATTGGAACTCCAAGGATGGCAATATGGGTGATACCGTCATGGGCGGCGGCTAGTTCTCTTGACCTCCTGAAGATCGATCAGTCAATCAGTCAATCAGTCCAGATACACTTCAAGCGGTTTCGCCGGGCACTTGCTCTGGCGAAAGATGCCATCATTGCTTCCTTTCACGAAGACTATTTTTTGCAACAGGTCAAATCGCATCCGAGAAGAAGTCGATTCTCTCATGATTTCAAGTAAATCCGAACGGAGTACATCGCTCTGTTGTTCAACATACGACTACCGTATGTTTGATGGGAAAAGATAGATTCAGAAGAAACCAAAACTTAGATAGAGTAATTAGAGTTGAGTGATCCTTCTATTGTCTACAATTCTTGTACTTGTCCGAGCTGGTAATGAATGTAGCTTGGTTTCTTCTTAATGAGTTTCTGAATCATCTTGTTGTCCTCCAGTCGAAAGGCTTCAACAATTGCCACCTCCATCTTGCCTTCCAGAGAATCGACAGAAGTTCCTTGTTCAATCAAGAGCGATACACACTGCTGATTGTCCATCTTGACATCGCCAGCACTTTTGCTACTCGATTGAATGGCCACAAGTCCAGAAGCCTTTGGATGTGCCAATTGGATTGCACCAGAACCTTCCTTTTCGACTATTTGAATTGCGTTCCGACACTGCTGCTTATATTCTCTCCAAAGAGAGCACTATGTCGACCCTGTTGCCTTGTCACCACTATACGATAGAAAACTTTCCCATGCTGGCATCGCTGTTACTTTTGGTTGGTTGGCATTGAGTGGAGCAACACACTTCATTGGACGCAGGTTCTGGTTGCCCTACCTCTATGTGATGGCGTAGAAGGTTTTCCTTGAGAAAGGTTCTATTTGCACGACTTGACTGCAGGCTTTGTGAGTGATCCGCTGGAAAGTTGCAATTGCGTAGGCCATTCAGTGAGTTGCACATACCAACGCAGCTTCTTCCGGAGCTGGTTTGGAAGTCGCCAACGCTTTTGCCTCTTCCTTGGCTGTTTCGAGCACCTCTGTGCCTAGAATTTCAACGGAAACTTCGTGGAATAGAATTGTGGATTACACTATTTTTTCGTCAGCTTCCTTGCTGCTCTCAATTTCGATTTCACAAAGCTCCTCGAGTAGTTTGTAGTCGCGCTCGTCGATTTTTGTTTCTTCAGCTAAGAGTGCCATTTGGGCCTCCAATGTGTTATGCAAGATGATATCTGTCTCCTTCTTGGTGTTTTCGACTGCTTCTTGTTTTCTCTTAGTTTGTTCAGCTGAAAGCCTTGAAGCCGCAGCTTAATGGACCGGTCATTGATCCAATTGATCGTGGAAGTGTTGTTTCAGCTTTATACAATTCGCTCTTCCTTCAACACTGCTGGTGGTATTTTGCCACTTTGAAACCTGCAATATATTGGAGACAATCAACCAACAGTTTCCATGGTGTCATTGCTGGAATGGTCCAAGCAAAAAGTGCAATCTAATTGTTGTCTCACGGATGATGCAGCACTGCGTGTTGTCTTCATCGGATGATTCAGATGCTGATGTGCGTGGGATATGAGTAGAGTGAGTCCCTTTTCAAAATACGACTCAGTCGACTGTTTTCATCGCAACATGATCGCGACGAATACTGTATAATACAAGTCGCATCATTGTGCACTTGAGGCTCTTGAACGCCACAACCAGCAGAGCCTAGTAGTAGAATCACGTGTATATTGTATCATCATTATACTGCAGTATATCCTTCCAATACTGTACTGATGCGAATGATCTTTCAGTCCTTTGTGTCTCTGTTACTGGTGATCATATTACCTCAAACACATTCACTGGTTCCTCTTACTCCTCTTTCTGTCAAAGATATTCCCCTGCTATTATTAGGTATGAAAACTCGAAGAACCAGATCAGCATCCCCATCCACATCTGACAATAAAAAGCCACGAAGAACCGGCACGATGGATCATCCATCTTCTACAGATTCTTCGCTTCAGATGACTTCCAACTTGATCAATGACGATAAGAGAACCAGTGCCGATAGTCTGCATAAACTGGTGCCCATGCTTTCCCTTTGCCCCCTTCAATTTCAAAACCCGGACTGTATTACAAACGACAAAGAAGACAATAATCCAGTGCTCATGCCTCAGATTGGTTTTGGGACCTACAAGTTCAAAAAGGATTCAGGAGAAGCGGAAGAGGCGGTGTTACAAGCCTTGAGTGTGGGCTATCGTCACATTGATACGGCCTTTGTATATGGCGGAGAAAAGACAGAATTGGAGGTTGGGAGGGCCTTGCAACAAGCCATGTCTGACAAGAAGTCAGACCATGATGCTTCATCATCATCTATCGGTGGCTTGAAGCGCTCGGACATTTTTGTCACCACCAAGCAGTGGCGTGCCTACCATGGATACGAAAAGACCAAACAATGCTTGGCCAAGTCATTGAAACGTTTGCAATTGGACTTTGTCGATTTGTACTTGATGCACTGGCCGGGACCCAATCCTGCCGACGTCAGGGCCTCTGAATCCGAGATCAACATGCCAGAGTTACGTGCTGAAACGTGGCGAGCAATGGAGGACTTGTACTTGGAAGGCAAGTGTCGGGCCATTGGAGTTTCCAACTGTTCCATTGCCCATTTGGAATCCTTGAAACGATACTGCAAAGGCAAAGGAGGTTGCCGCTTGTGGCCACCGGCAATAAACCAAATTGAAGTTCATCCATATAATCCTCAGACAGAATTGATTCAATATTGCCAAAAAGAAGGCATCGCTGTCCAAGCCTATGCGTCTTTGGGAGGTACGACAAAGCTACCATCATAACGTGAACGACCATAGTATGTCTGATGCTTCTCACCCCACTTACTTTTTTCAATTCAACAAGGTCAAGATGCTGGTAAAAAGGCGTGGAAGGCACTGGGCGGCAAGCTATTGGAACGGGAGGAAGTACAAAAGATTGCTCAAAAGCATTCGCTCACCAATGCACAAGTATTATTACAATGGGCAGTACTCCAAGGATACGGCGTCATTCCCAAGTCGTCCAAAATGAATCACATGGTCCAGAACTTGGAAGCGGTGACAATGACGACTTGCTTGGCGCCAGCAAGACAAGGAGATGAAAAAGACGACAAGGAAACTGCAAAGGGACGACTTGATGCTGCTGATATGGAACTACTGAAATCTTTGGACTTGTCTCAATCAAAAGATGAAACGATTCGAGACCGTGTGCGCTTATGTTGGGTCAGAGACCCGCTGAAAATGCTGGACTTTGAATAGAAGCAAGCACCGTCGGAGTATTTTTTATATAGTAACTACTAATCGACCTTTCGGTTCCCCATTGGGACGTTCTCTTGCTTGTTTCGAGCTGCCGATCCGTCCTATTGACGTCAATAATCCTTTTGTTGCTGTGAAATTATTCAGTTGGCGATTTACTGTTAGTACTCATATTATTGATTCATTTACGTGCCGATGCTGATGCTGATGCCAAGCAATGAGGCAGGCAATATTGAGCGACAGAAACAGGTGATGGCTTCTAAATGACCGTACAGAGAATGTGCTGTGCTGCGTGAGTGGATAAGCGCCTCACATAAACTTTAGTTGGATCCCTCAAGCTGGTACTGTCAATCATTCTTTGATTCTAATAGATGATACATACTGGTTAGAATCATCATGGAACCCAGCAAAAGACGACACACTGAATGCATTATATGTACTATGTGGCTTCATCCCAATTTTGGGGCTTGAGAGATTTCGTTCACCAAGCAACGAGTAAATATTATGAAACGAAAATCATGCGTAATGGGAGGCCCCATGATGTTTTATATAATACTTCCTGCAGGCTCGTGCGGATCTCATGATTTCTACTATTGACGCATTGAAACCGGTACTGTGGGTTGGATACTGTAGGTCATTTAGGAATCACCTCAACCGTCTCGCCACCCTAACCAAATTCTGTACTTTAATGTATTCTTTTCCACGTCCGCTGTCTCTTCTTGAATTGTAATTGCCATCAATCAAAGTACTCTTACAATAGGAAAAGGTGCAATGAATGTCTCTTTCAACTTTTTGGACCAAATGCATTTGGCTTGGTTGGATCAATGATTAGACAATAAAAGTGTCACTGACTGACCCTAAGTAGAAGCGGAGTGGGATTTATCTTGCTACTGCACTGCTTTCGAAAAGGAATGCACTTGGAAGGATGGTGGAATGTTATGGACATGTTATTTATGAAAGTGCTACATGTTTGTATTTTGCCTTTTGTTTTGGATGTCTGCATTTGCCTCAAGCAAGCTCTTATTCGTCATTCCCTGAAAGTGCTGAAGCTTAGAGGGATTGTGTTCCAACACATTCATGATCTCCGTGAATAAAGGTATCAAAGTGTGATAGGCTTCCCGCGATGACCTTTTTCTTTTCCTATCTGATGTGTGGCTTCCACTACTCATTATGTCTTCCATCTGCTTGGCTTCAGTTACGTTGTCAAGCTTAGATTCAATTGTCTTTTCGATTTCTGTAGAGTCCACCTGATGGAAATCATATTGCTCTTCAAACTTGTGGATATCTTGTGATAGCCCCATTCCATCCACAGCTTTCTTCGTCTTCTTGCAATTACAAATTTGCACTGTATGTTTTGTATCCCAGTTCAAGACTCTTTCTTTTGCTTTCTTGCCAAAGAATGATGGTAGTCTATCGGCAACATTAGGACCAGTCACATCAGAGAATCTTATACTTCCATTGCATATTGGATTAACCCTTGGCCCTGTGAATTCATGTTGTCTCAACAGGTCCTTCACTCACTCGTGTCGTGATCCATACAGTGTAGGCAAAGAGCTGGTACTAACTCCTTCTTGAGTCGAAAGTCGACTAGCTCGATCTATACAGACTTACGGACTGACTGACTGACTGACTGACTGACTGACTGACTCACTCAGTCATTCGATTTGTTCATTCAGATAAGTCGTATTAATACCTGGTACGTCCTATACAGCGAAATTTTGCTTTGCTTTATTGCTTGATGATCGAAAACATCATCGAACGAATGCTCCTTGCTTGGATGAGCGAACTGAAGTAGTGATCAGCATGCAGCGTCATGAAAAAAGTGCTTAGAGTTTGGTAGAAACTTTTCTACCATATTTGGTGGAAGAATAATTAGTTGAAAAAGGTTGAAATTTCAACGTGTCATTACTGTATACAATACCTCGACAACTAGACAGTATTATATTATACTATGTAAGCTAAACTATAAACCAACCAGGCACGCAAGCAAGCACCAAAGGCCAGCCCGAGCATCAGTGTCAAGGATGGAGGCGAACGATTGCGTGGTGTACCGATACCAAGGCAATGCGGGAGAACAAGTACCAAGAAATGTTCAAAAGCTGATTGTCAATCCAGGTGTAATGACTGCACAAGTTTGGTGGAAACCACGATCCCAAGCACAGCATCCATTGACTCTGCATTTCGATCCTGCGAGCAGCTGGCGATAGTCGAGTTTGGAATTTCGTCTTCTTCGCCCCGTTGGCTAAAGCAAATTTCAAATTGGCCTCCCAGCTCTCTCGCGTTGCAGATCTCTGCAAAGAATCAAGTTACCCTCGCCTGTGCACTTCATTGCTGCAAAGGCCTTTAAGGGCTGTGGCATGTTGGTGGAAGTAGATTTATCTACAATGTCCATCGCGGAGATTGTCAGTTTTGTGTTCTATGCTTGTAGTTGGCTGCAAACTGTGAGCCTGCCAAGTTGATTGGAGCGTATTCGTGGCCATGCATTCGCACGCAGTGGCTGTCTGCTGGTTACTGTGGCAGTGCCCTCGGATGCAAAGCCGGTCGAAATGGGATTCCGGTCGTTCCGTGGATGCAAGTCTCTTGCAAACCTTGCGCTTCCGCAAGAATCCAAAGCCATATTGGATCCTTTTGATGGCTGTGCTCTATTGAAAGATCGCTTTGGGGCAGGACCAGATGCTATTATCGCCGGTTTGGTACGCCGGTTTCAGAACTATCCTGCACACGAAGTGTTTTATTGCCATTCCTCTACCACCCAATAACTTCGTCGATGTATTGATTCAAGACAAAGGACGAGGAGTTTCCACTTGAGGATGAGGCCGGAATGACCCCATTCCATGTCCTCCTTTCGACTATCCGACCAAGACGAGATCTGCTCCAAGTCCTTGTAGACAAGTTTCCATACCAGGTTCTCCGCTGGAAAGACGCCAACGATAAACTGGCAACAGTTTAACTGCTCTCCGATTGGACTCGGGAGAACAAGATATTGCTCCAGATGGCCCTTCAAAGCTGGATGGCTGCTCCATTTCATCATCGGGGCGCTGCATCCTGGATGAATGCCATGAAAAGTAAGGTGCAAGCTATACTTGATGAAAATAACGACAAGAAGCGCCGGATGACTTTGTTCACCGAAGCGTATTCGGCCTTTGTACATTACCAAGGTATTGATGCCACGTCGATCTTGGAAATGACCTTGTGGAAGGGGTAGCTCAATCGTGGATTGAAGAATGATGGTTGCAAGCGTCACGCTCTGGACCGAGGAGAATCCCGGTGCCTCTTTGGATCCGAACGTAGTCATGTTCTTGGGAATCATCAATCATCATCCAGTAGGAGCTTCATTATCTCAAGATGTCGATTGACTCTGAAATATTTCATCAGGTACTTGTAGGATTTACATTTATGATCAACCAAATAGCAAAAATCACAATGTGGCAAGAACCTACTGAATTCAAGGAAAGAACAAGATAGGTGTCACTACTCAAACACTTTTGTTTGCGCAAAAGCCCCTGTTTTACTTTAGTTCAGTGTGATTGGACTAGAGAATCATTTTCGTTCCAGCATCCGCTTGTTTTGACAACAATTATGGCTTCTTGACGCAATTGAAAGCGCCGTATGAGTCTATTCTAAAATAATACTGTTGGCATTATGATGTCAGCTTCTTTCCATATTCAAAGGCAATGAAACCAATTGCACTCGGAGGAAAGGCCATCATCAGGGGTCTGACTGCAGGGACCCGCGCGAGGACCAAGCGATGAGCAATTTTCGTTGAAGTAATACCTGATTCAAAAGTCATGGATTCTGTGTAATGACTGATCAAGTGCTGCAACTGCCCGGCTAGGCCGCCTGCCAATGCAAATCCGGCCAAATAAGAGCTCCCTAAATGACTAGGCTTGGACCCTTCGCTTTCAATGTCATCCCCATGGTGGAACTCGTGCAATATGGACCGTTTCAGAAATTCATAGGATCCAAAGAGAACTGAATGTGCTACAGTATGATGCAATGTATGATAGGCAGCCTGCTGAATCCATATATTTCTTGTCAATGCTGTGGGTCCCTCAAATATGCTAGTCGCAACTCCATGAACGGATCCAGCAACAGCTCCTGCTGTCCAATGAGATACCAGGCTCGCCCTGGAAAATTCGTCTGGTTCATCAGGTAGAATTGTCAACAGATCTTCTGAATCATCATCGTCGTAGTCTTGATCCAATTTTGTTTGATCACTGGAACCATACGTCGATCTATGCATGACCTCAGCGGATGGTGGTGGTGCCAGTTGGCTTACGACATATCCATAAGACTCAAAGACGGCCAGTCCCAAAAATGTATTTTTCACCAAGTTACCGGCAAATGCACGAATCTGCTTCCATCGTTGTGAGGACGATTGCTGTGATTCCACGGCCGTGGACCACCAATCGTAGCCGGTAGACAATCGATCACTGACCCGTGCCACTTGTTTCACTGGTAGTCGTCGTCTGATGACTTGTCGTGGCAAACGACCAATCATTGGCCGAGCAGCACCCCGTCCCAAGGATCGAGTGAAGCCTCGAACCACACCAGCAGCTTCAGATCCCAAATCATTCTCAGTATCGTGGTCCTCTTCAGAGAGTTCTGAATGAGTCATTCCTTGTATATCTATGGCTGAGCAGTATTGTATGTTTTTAGTTTTGATCGACCTCGGTGATTTTGACTATATTGCAGACTGGCTTTGTTTCCAATAACGTAGAAGGGTTGCAAGAATGATGCCGCCACCAATTGCGCCACTGCAGTCGTATTGACCCAGACGCGTTTCCTGCCACTGAAGCAGCGAGTGGATAAAATAGAATGATGATGATGATGACGATGACGAGATGTTCAATGTCAACATAAGCGAAGACGGGCGACATACGCATCATCACTTTTATGGTAATTGGGCCCGCGGGCGCCGGGATGCACTCCCGCCCATCGTTTTATTCAGTTGATTACAGACTAGTGCCAGCGAGTCATTTCGTGCGATTTATCCGCGCGTAACAGCGACTGGGCCTGATTTTACTTAACACATAGAACATTTTATCTTGACTATTGATAAATGTCTAGCGAATCTTCTCCATTTGTTCATTTCAGAGTTGTTAAAAGCAGTCAAATGCTGCCGTCATTTGGGAACCATTTCTTTCAATTTCACACCAACTTCTGAAAAAGTTGAAGTATCAGACAACAAACACACTAACAACATGAAGTACATTGCCTTCCTTCTCGTCAGCTATTTCTGTGTCTTATCGTCGGCCATTGGTGCATCCAATTCTATGGCAGAGTCCAGCATTTCGACTTCCCCCATATCTTTCAACGGGGACAAAGTCGGACATGAACTGTTCTTGCGTCGCCGGTACTTGGAAGAAGTACAGCTACCAGAGGAAGAAGAGGGAAAGGAATCACAAGAAGGACAACCACAACTTGATGGGTCCAATAGACTGGCCTTTTCCGAAACCTCATCTGGTCGATTGGTCTTGATCGCTTCTGGGTCATTGTTTGGTGTCATCCTCGTTTACTTCTTCCTGCACGATTATCTTCGTAAGGCTTGTTGCTCAACAACAGTCATCAGGAGTACTATCGATGAAGGCGATGAGGAGAAAGACATCCAAGAGCCGAAAAGGGATATGACCACAAGAACAGGATCTGCCACTGTTGACGATTTGTCCAAATCAGATGACAACAGTACAGACGATTCTTGCGATTCGCCTTCGGTGAAGTAAATGAACAGTATACTAGAGGTTCATCCTTCAAGTATCTTGTACCAGGACTCTACATTCATTGTACATACACAAAATGGAACAACAAATGCTCCAGCACATCCCAGAGCCAAATTTTTGGTTTTGAGTATGGGGACAATTACATTACCAGTTTCCAAAATTGGATTAGCGAGCGACGGAACAAGATGCATATTGGCGGGTTTGAAGGTTCGGTAGTTTTTCGAATTTCTTTTCTGTCGGACTGCAGGGCTCTTTCTTCAGTATCGATTATATAGTTATACATAGAATGCATTTTAGGATTTTAGAAAAGGTAGCATAATAGTTTGGAAGACTTGTAGTCAAGTCATCAGAGTGCCTCAGATGCAAGCTGACGCCAGAAAGAGAGTACTCCAAACTCTAAAAAATTATTACATTGTCCTAGACGAGTCTATTAGATTAGAAATAGCTACATTCGCCCACCCAAATTTGCCTTTCTAGTAGAGGCTGTGTCTTCTTCCCCGTGGTGACGACTCTACAAAGGACGTTTTCATGGCGCGTTCAAAGTCACCGAGCTTGTAGTAAATGCGGCCTTGAGCTTTCTTGGTTTCGCGAATTTGTGCTGTGATTCGACGCTTCCAGTTGGCATGACGGCTGCATAATTCATGAGTCTCATGATTGCAATGAGAACAGGAACTGGCGCTGGTATGGCATTCCTGCAAATTGGCCAATTCGACGGCCAAAGCCTTATTGTACTTGAGGAGGGCAATCTTCTGCTCACCCAAACCATAGTCGTACAGCTTGGCCAAGTCGTGAAGGACACGAGAGACACTCAGGTGGCTGGGCCCCAGTTCTTGCTTGGTAATCTCCAGTTCTCGGGTGAAGTAGGTTATGGCCGATCGGGATCTTCCCAACTTTACGCAGATCTTTCCCATGGTATATAGTAGTTTGGCTTTATCTGCAGGTGATGAATCACACTCGTGAAGTGCTTGATGGTAGCATTCCAGAGACTCTTCGGTTCGACCAACGCGAAACAAGACATCACCCTTGGTTTGCAGAATTTGAGATCGAACATCACTCGAGTCAATATTGACTCGATCTTGCACTTCTTTGGCCAAATCAATTTGTTTCAGAGCGCTTTCAAGTGATCCAGTTGCCACGTAAACTTGTGCCATTTGGCAATACAGTGAAGCTTGCTGGTCCAATGGAGCATACAGCATTTCTCTCTTGTACGTCTCCAACGCAGCCACGTATTCTTGTTGCGACTGATATTCATTGGCCAACAAGTGCAACACTTGCACATAAAGTGTTCTGTCAAGTTTATCCTTTGGTACTTTTTGCAAGTATGTCGCAGTAGCTTGCAAATGGGATAGGGCGTCTTCATTCTTCATGGCATCCAATTTTTGACAGGCGACGAGGTAATGCATCGTAGCCAGCTGGCCAAAATCTGGCTTCGCATCACATGTAGCATGGAGTTCTTCCGTCACCAAAATGGCAAGCTCCCAGGCATCTGCGCCGCACAAAAAGACAACAAGCTTCTTGGACGGTTCGCCAAACCAACCTTCTTCGACTAGTGCCGGCTTTATCCGATTGAGATAACGCTTGGCGGCTTGATGGTGAACAGTATCCTTCAGTCCTTGTTTGAGACGATTCGAGTACTGTCGGGCCAACATCTGTCTGCGGTTTCCATCGTTGGAATCATCCAACGATTCGAGTTCAATTTTTAGGCTGGCATTTAGTTCTTCTTGTTCATTGGCAATACACAAATGAAGGACGACCAATTTGCACAAGATTTCAGTTTTGCTGGATAGCATCTCCGTCTGTTCGTCCGCCAATTCCAAAGCTTCTTGCAACAAGTCCAATGCTTCATCAGGATTGCCATCCGCTTCCAAGTCTTGAGCGTGCATTTGGAGATTTCCAATGGCAAGCTTGTATTCTTCAGGAGTCAGTCTGGCTCCGTTGCTGGAAATGGATCCTCGGCTGCATGCCCGCCCTCCGCTCTTGTTGGAAGCAACCGAGTCTAGAGTGTTTCGGCGGACCATCTTGGTCAGACTTTTGAACATGGGACTGGACCCATTGTTGCTGTTGTAAGAATTGTGAAGTTCTTCAGGGGATATCGATGAATTATCTGCCGTATTTGACAATGTCTCGCCGCTTGCTGTGGAGCCTCCGCCTGATCCAAGGTTCTTGCCTTTGGACGAACCTAGAAACTTGGAAAGCAGGCTATTCCGTTTGGGTTTGCTCATTCGTCTAAGAGGTTTGGTGTGTCTGATTTCTTCACTGTTTACCCTAGGGCGACGTCGTCCTCGGCGTTTTCCACGCTGAGACCGCGATCGATGCATACCATTATTACTACCGCTTTCCGAACCAGAACCGGACAGAAGGCCACTTTCACCTGATCTCGTAGACGCATCTGGATCAAACTCTGACTCAGAATTATCACCATTGCTTGGTTTCCGCATTAAGCTTACTTCATCCACAGATGCGCTTCGAAGAGGAGGCGTTTTGGATCTCATATATTCAGGGTCATCGTTCAATGACAAGGTGTATGCCATATTATTGTGTCTATTCTTGATGTATTCTTGATGCTACTGTATGATATTGGTGGGACTACTATTTGATTCAATCTTGTTTCTCGATTTTCAGCCTTGCCCTGCAATATTCTGGTTTGCACGGTCGCAGTTTCAGAACGAGTACCGCTGAATGAAGCCTTGCAATGACGGGGTTGGCGCTGGAGATGGGTTTAGTGCTAGAGACGTTTGTGATTGCTCGTTTTTAACTTGTCGAAAGACACGGTCGTGTTGTGTTCCTTCCGCTTGCCTGAACACTTTCAACTCCCTAACAGCTTCAAAGAAAAAAGGCCCAATCACAAGAATTGGGCGTAGGAATTTTCACGACAGACTTTCAATTGTTAATTAATGGTTGGGAGAGCGAAGTGTGTAAGCAACATTGATCGATATACAACACTGGACCAAATGGACATTAAGAATGCGAAATTATTGAAACCATTTAACATCACCAGAAGTCACTGGAATTCCCATAAACATTAATGGTCATATTTATGACTGCGACATGAGCAGTCTTAAAAGATTATCTTATATACCAGTATCAGAGAGGGAATGAATGAAGGCTTGATGACATAAAAGTTATTCCGATCAACGATGATAGTGCATGTCGTTAGCATCATTTTGAGTTGACATGACAACCATTAAGTCTATTTGATTTTCACACTCAAAACCATGGAATTTCATCACATCTGTAGTTTCCAAGCTGCCAAAGACTAGATCTAGCCATCCTTGATCTAGCATACAACATTGTTGGACGATACGCGAATGTTTGTCTCGAGATACTATGATGTGATGGCGAGACCCAAAACTCTGCGCATCGCCATGTTTGGACTTTTTCATACTTACCTTGATGGCTAGAGCAATATACTCGTCGGGAATTTGTGAATCCAGGAGGCTTGCCTTTGGTGATGAACAGTAAGCCCGACAGAGGCTTTCTTATATGCACCAATGGACCCATCACAATTTGAACCAGTGGACGACAATAGTGCTAGTACGAAGGTCCAAGCCCAGCAAACTAAGCAGGCTCGTATTTCTCTCAAGAGTCTGCGGCAGAAATGTTAGGAAGTTTGCTCCAACTTTCAGTTGAAATGGGCGGCCAGAAATGCTATGGTTGCATCAAGTGACTATAGCAAAGTCGATTTAAGAGATCCGAGGTATAAGAACGATGATTGGTAATGTCTTTGCTAGAGAGATAGAGCGGCAGGACTGGTGGAATCGTTGTGCGAAGCCACTGCCTTACGATGATTCGAAACCAAAAATATCGCCATGAATAGCACAAACGATAGAGTGGTTGAGGAGGACTACCCACTTTGCAGAGAATGTAGTATCGCAAGCTCAAGGTAGTTAGTTGTCTAGTACATTCTGGACGAGGTCACCTATCAAATCACTTCTGACACAGCCAAGGATTTTGGCGGATCGCCGAAAACAAAAGATCCAATGTGCCATGTTGTTCTGCCAAGTCGAATACTGTCCATTCATTGTCATGGGCATTTGCACCTCTATCCGCCAATAGCGCTGCGACCTGGAAATTGTTACTCTCACATGCAGTACGCAACGGAGTATGTCCATCTGCGTCCTTTGCCTCCATATCGCAACCATGGTCAAGCAAAAATTCTGCCATCTGGACGCGGCCTTCACTAGAAGCAGCATGCAACGATGTCTGTCTCTCATTTGTCGTCGCTTGGATATCGGCCATTTTACTCAGTAAGAACTGGGCAACTTGAATGTGGCCTTTTAAGCAAGCAAGAATCAACGGTGTATACCCCTCTTTGGTCTTGGCTTCTATAATGTTCGATGGCAGATTATCGAATAGGAATTCGGCTACCTCTTAATGACCATTCAACGACGCAAGGTGTAAGAGGGTGAAACCGTGGTCGTCAGCTGCTTTCGCGTTGGCTCCAGCATCCAACAATACTTCTGCAACCTCCAAATGTCCTGCTTCGCATGCCCAACACAATGGGGTTTTCCCAAACCGATCCATTGCCTCTACAATAGCATTTCGATCGAGCCCTTCACGTTCCACCCAATCCAACATGAATGTAACAACCTCATGATGCCCTTGGAACGATGCGTAGTGAAGCGATGTCATATGGTCATTGTCCATTGCTTCAATATCTGCACCACGGCGAAGCAACAACAGTACCACCTGCAATTCACCGGCAGCCGACGCGGCGATCAAAGGGGTGAGCCCAATCGTTTCGTCCTTTGCCTCCAAATTGGAACCTTCGTTCAATAAAAACTGAACGACCGGCTCAAATCCACGTGCACATGCAGCATACAGTGGTGTGAATCCGTCTTCTCCCCTGGCTTCGAGAAACGCTTGTCGATCAAGGCTTTCAATAGCGCCCAACAAGTGTTGGGCAACTTGTGTGTTCCTATGTCTACACGCCATGGAAAAGGGTGTCGAACCGTCATTTGTTGTGGCTGTCAAACTAGAAACTAGCCCCATGTCTGACCAAGAGCTCCACGATTTGCAAGTTGCCATGCAAAGAGGCATTGCGTAGAGGCGTGAGTCCGTGCTGGTTCACAGCGTCAATGTTGACACGCCTATCCAACAATAGACGGGCAATCTGCAAAGCATTGACTTCGTCCTCTCTAGTACTTATGTAGTGCAAAGGTGTGTCCCAATCAAAGTCCCTGGCCTCCAGATTGTCAAACCCACTATTCGGATCCGACAAAAACTGTACCACACGCAAACGATTGTGGATACACACATAGTGCAACACACTCATTCCAAGTTGTAGTTCCACAGTATTAATATCAGCACCTCGGTAGATTAAAATCCTGGCGATGCCCAGTTCTTGGTGGTCGCATGCATGAAAGAGAGCTGTGCGCCCGCACAGATCTTTCTCGTCTACGACTGCTCCATGGTCCAACAACAGTTGCACGGTGCCATGGTGACCTTTTATTGCTGCAATCATCAACGGTGTGAATCCAAAATTCGTCCCTGAAATAGTGGCCCCTCGTTGCAGCAGTAAAAGGACAATTTCAAAGTGTCCCCAATACACTGCATCTCCTAGAGCGGTCTCATAATTATTGTCACCCTCCGTCTCGTTCACATCGGATCCGCTATCCAACAGCTGTAGAACCTGTTCCCGGTTGCCAAGGATAGCTGCTTCATGTAAAGACAGCATTCTCTTTCAATCTTCACTTTCTTTTGCGCTGCTGTTTGTTACAGGCTTTCAGTATTGATGGTCTTGACAAATGGGGTTTGTCAATGAATCAATTCTCTCCTATTTTGGTTTTGTGTTGTTCCACTTTGTTGCCAAATAACCGAAAATCTGATTTCTTGAGACCGGCCGGCGTGACCTCAATTGGTTTGGAATTCTTCATCAAGAAAAAACATCGTATGGGTTGGATGTTGTATGGATGGTGTACAGTATACCGGTACGGCATGTATTAGAAGGATGATTGTCCTCCTTCTGAGAAAAGAGACATCATCTGCGGTATACCGGTAGTGTTTACGGTATGACTCCTGCAAAATAGTGATGGCACTTGGACAAGCTAAGCTAATAACCCGATGCCAGATTTGATATGATTGGCTCATTTTCAATTCGATCGTGATGTGCCAGTCGTTGAAGGGAGAAACGGAGGAATATGAGATGTCGAAGACACGATACATGCTGTATTGTAATAATATTATGCATGTATGCGATCCGATATAATGCATGCGGACCATGGGAGCCAGAACTATATATCCAGTACAACAAGGTACAATAGATTCCGACGCTAGATTTGACAATCTGGACGACAAGCCACCCGAACCCGTTTCACTCCTGGACAGTGGCGAACCAAAGCCGATTGTGACACGTGACCTTATTGATTGATTTTCCAAAAATGGTCAGAGCACGTCATATACGGATGCCAAGAAGGGACTATTCGAAGGTGATACAATGTGGCCTGTCTACGGTATATTATAGATTCCTCACACAAGCTTCACTTTCGAATTCGAAAATCGGACGAAGGAAGTCTGTCTTTGAGTCGGGACGCCGTCCAAACAGTAATGAAGAAACAAACTGAAAAGCAAAACATGTGTGAACTTGTTGAGGATTAGGATGTTTTTTGCCAAGTGAAACGTCCTGGTCTAAAACCCGGCTATTTCGGAAGCTAGAGAAGACGGGTATTCTCGAACACTACCTTCGGATGTCAGCAGCATATTGCTGTGAGGACGCTGATGTGGCGTCCACTCTGGAGAATGCAGAGGACCTGTTCGCCGATCTACAGTCTTGTCCTCGTGTTTTAAGCAACCAGCTAAAGATTGGAACACCCTGTGGCGATACGTTGCGGGCTATCGTAGGAGAGAATGATGGAAGCTGTGAACCATCCCTATATTCAACATCCTGCATTCCATCACCTATTTGTCGGATTTGACGAAAGAAATCTGCATTACTTGTCGGGGTGCATCGGAGTCTCTGGGATGCTCGCTCAAGGTTTGTGGTAAATGCAGGAACGCTCTCTACTGTTCGAAAGGTTGTCAACACGCCGATTTGTGGGCGCACCACAGACTAATTTGTGTCCGAGCCCCTGAAGAAAGGAAGCTAACTGCTGTTCAAAGACTGGTCATAAATTATTGCAACGCTCACCGCGATATCATTTTGACCGAAATGAAGGAAGCATGCGTCTACTTTCACAAGACAGCAGATAAGATGGTTGTTGAGTTGAATTTCGCACCGAATTTCGTAGAGAATCATTCAATTCGTCCGCCTTTTGCGAATATTGTACCTTTTCAAGCCTACATCGATGGCGACAAGATGATACCGGATTGTTTCTTCAGCCAGTACGAGGAGTATGAGGTGGAAACAGAGACAAGGGAAAAATTCTTCAATATTTTGAAAGCATCGGCGTCGTCGAAGAGCGCAAACACCTGCTTGTTCTTTGTGCTTTTCGCGAATCGTGAGCGTATGGAGTTTGTCGAGGTACCAATGCCCAGAGGATTATTGTGTGACAGTGCTAGTTTTGATGAATAGAAATCTTCTCAGTCACTGGCTGTGTCAATAGGACTAGTAACAATATATTTATTAGTAAAAGTTTCTGATACTTCCAGTATACTGCTTGTAGTTCTTCATTTCTTGGGTAGAATGAAAAAATGCCTGTACCGTTAATCCATCACAAAATTTGAACTGCTGGTACTATTCTAATAGACCATCAAAACACTGATTGATAGGCTGTATAGTTTTGGAACGACTTTTATATTGGTACGTGGTACGGATGAGACTATCCTCCCGAAAAAGACTACCAGTAGCAAGAAAAGCCGCAATGCTGTCCTAGATGCCGCCAACAACAATCCAAAAGATTTCCGAAAACCGAGTTGCTATTTCTCCTACTCCTTCGGTCGAAAATCGTGGCCTCATTGCTGGACAGTAAGCCAGACGAAAGGTGTAGCGAGACCCATGGACGGATTGCACTGTATTCGAAACGGCAGTCATGTAAATACCACAGCCGCGCTCTGACATTCGTCTCTTTTGGTTGCTGTTGCAACGGTAGTAGGTATTTTCCAGGGCCGTGACCGCTAGCAGAGAGAGTTTGCTTTGATGGCTAGCTGCAAGGTGTAGGAGAAATGGCAAGCATGATTCATGGCAGATGATCCTCTCCATCCACTCTGGGTCTCCCGCCTTTCGAAGCAAGTCGAATAAATGTTCCAAGAATCCGGCATTAAGGATCGCTTGGCAAAGTTCCAGACAGTGCCAACCAACGTCCGCCAGCAACAAGATTGCTTTCTGGCGATCCGAAATATCGTCCCAAGAATACACCGGCAGTTGATATCCTGGGTAGTATGGGTATGGTTCATTACTGGTGGTAACGAATAGTTCAGCGTTCGATATATGAGCGAGACCGGAGAGAGGTTGGAGAAGGCAGCATTTGATGAACATGTCAATAGTGCCAATCGATTCCAATGGCACCAAAGCTGTCACAGCATTGAAGATCGATCCGTGGGCCAACGTACCACCGAATGAGCTCAGGCGTTGGAGAAGAAAAGGGAGCAAATAGCGCGCAGGTATAGTATTCGGACTTGGTGGGGGAGAGACACGAGATCCGGAAGGTGCCGCCGAGCCAACAGTCTCTGGATGACATTGACCGAACATTAGATCCATGTCAGATCGGCTCCGGTATAGGTGGCTCTCAAAATCTTGGACTGCTCCAAGTCGTCTGGCATGATCGAGGTCTTGTTGTTGTTGTTGCTGGTCTTGTTGCTGGTCTTGTGGAAGGAAGAAACAGTTTTCGAATCCCGCATAGGCATCCATTGTTGCATTGTTTGCTTGATCTATCAAATGCAAAAGACGCTGCTTTTGCGGACTGTTGAGGATTGGAATGGCGCAAGGCAAGTGTTGGAACAAAGTGAATACCATGGTTCCGAGTTTTCGTGCCCTTGCGTTGATTTCTGGAATGCTTTCTCCCTGGTGGTAAAGTGATTTCAAGAATTCTTCCACAGCATGCTGGATGCAGGGAGAGATGGATTCAAACAGAGTCATCCATTGCGCGCCAGTGGGTTCGTCCATTGCGCTTGGAGGTGGAGGGCGATTCTTGTCGTCGTCATGGTCATTTCCATTTTCAACAGCTGCTGCATTTTCTTCCCCACCAGCTGCCTCAACAAGTCGGTTTCTAGGGGTAGTGCTTAGAGGAATCTTCATAATCGAGCTTCACTCGATGTTCTGGCTTTAACTGAAGGAAGAGAGAACTCAAAGACTCTAATGTGTTTTGTCGCTTTTGGTTTCAAATCCTTCACTGGAAGTCGAACGAATCGAATGAATCAATCCACCAACCAACGAACCAATGCAATGGGACGCGGGAAGTTAGTTTCCATTTCACTCTTGCACAATTATTTATCCTTCAATTTGGTTTGATCATGGTATGATACAAAATGAAAGAAGAAGAGGTACATGTTGCCGATATCCGCTCGTCTCTCTTTCTTTCTCCATCTTGACCAATGGTGTGATTTCCAATGAGTGAGTGATGATGGCTGCGTTGATGTGGAAAAGATCGCAACGTCAACTTTTTCGAGACACGCGACCATTTCACACGATTGTTTCAACGGATCCTGTTGGCAGAAGCGATATGTAGGAATTAATTTATATATTGAAAATATTAATAGATAGGAATTCTTCTACATATTTAGCTCGTGCAATTGATAATATTAGTCAACTGCACGCGTCTACTTATACTTTTAGTGTGTGCCTTTCGAGAAACCTCGGAACGAAAGCACGCGTTATTGGAGTCCCAAAATTCTCGATCACAAGAAAACCACACATCAGGTACACTGACGACGAAGATTCGAAATTAAACAGAAGAACCCTCACATCATAATTACCGAGACGACAGGAGCACACAAGCGACACTAAGGCCAATATCAACGATGGAAGAACACAAGATATCAGTTCTCTTCCTGACAATCGTCACCTTATTGGCAACTGTATTAGTCTTGGCCAAGGCACTACACGATCGACCGAAATTGAATTCCTTTCTTTCAGAACCTGGAATGGTTCTATTGGTGGGGATTGCTGTCAGTTTGGTGGTCAGTTTCTTTGCTGGATTCAACGACTTTGTGGATGCAGATGAAGCAGCCGCTGCAGCAGCGGATGCGGGTGATGACAACATTTTCAAGATGTACGACGAGGATCAAGCTGGAGAAAGTCTTCTGAAACTCATGTTTTCATTTCCAAAAGAAGTATTTTTCTTTGGATTCCTGCCGCCGATTTTATTCAATTCTGGATATGAACTGCAACGAGAAATGTTCTTTCGACACATCAAGGCTATTGGAGCTTTTGCTGTGATTGGGACTCTGGTCTCTGGATTTTCCACTGGATTCATACTTTACGGCGTTCGAGAAGCCGGTTGGTTAGGTGACTTTGCACCAGCCACTCTAGAACTCTTGACGTTTGGTGCCTTGATTGCTGCTACAGATACTGTCAGTGTTCTCGGTGTACTCAAATCGAAACAAGTCGATCCTCACTTGTTCAATCTCGTCTTTGGTGAAAGCGCTCTGAACGACGCGGTTGCCCTGGTCCTTTTCAATTCACTCTCCAAGGTTTTGGTGGAAGATGCCGATAACAATCTAAATCTTGCACACGAAGCAAAAATGTTTGTCATTGAATTTTCGATGATTGCCGTTGGGTCTCCAGTCTTGGGAATCATCTTTTCCTTCTTTACCGCCATCCTTTTCAAAAGGATGGATTTGCGAAAGCATTCCGCTATTGAACTCTGCCTGTACATTCTTCTGATGTATGTGCCGTATATGATGGCCGAAGTCTTTCACCTCAGCGGTATTGTCACCATCTTTTTCTGTGGCATGTCCGCTCGCCGGTACATTGAGCCCAATTTGTCCTTTGCCACAGCCAAGAATGCCGAAGCCATCTTTCATGCGATTGCCTACCTTGCTGAGACCTGCATCTTCCTTTGTCTTGGTCTCAGCTGCTTTGGATACATTGAACGCTTCCACTGGAGATTCATTGGCTTTGGATTTGTGGCCTCGCTCATCGGCCGTGCGCTCAGCATTTACCCCATCAGCTTTTTGTATAATTGCAGTCTCAAGGAACGAGTCACGGATTCCTTACTGGCATTGGACGAGGAAGCCTCGTTGGGTTCGATGCAATCCAGTGGCTCCATGTCCTCTTCGAAACGCCAAAAGATTCGAAGTACTCCGGCACGTCGCCAAGATCGCAAGATCCCCCCTCGATTCATGCACGTGCTCTGGTTTGCGGGTCTAAGAGGTGCCGTAGCCTATGCGTGCGCCAAGAATTTTCCAAATGTGTACGGTCATGAGAACGACATGGTGACGTCCACCATGGTGATTGTACTCATCAATGTACTAGTCATGGGAGGCTTTACCGATGCTCTTTTGAATTGTCTGAAGATTCGCATGGGTGTTGACGAGAAGGAATACATGAAAACATGGCACAAACAACGAAAGCTGAAGGGAACCTTTCATCGATTCGGTAAGTCTATTGCATTCACTATGGAATGTCGCTGTTTGATGCATAAGTATGATTCTAACTTAGCTTGATTGCCTTTCTTCCTTTACATGATGATTCCACAGAAAATGACTACATTTACAAGGTAGTGGTCCGAGAGGGGGAGAACGACATTCCAGTCAAACCCAAACATGGTTATCAAAATCCAGAAATAATAGATACCATGTATCAGCTACAAATTATGGAATTGGCAGAAATTGACGAAACTGACAGCCAATCCGAAATGGATCCAGAAGGAATGGTCGTCGAAACCAAATCGGAGACCGAATCGGAGCACAGGTAGTCTCGTCGTCGCCAGTATACAGCAGGAAGATTCATGGCTACATGGAGCAGTCTTGATATCTCCTTATTCTGGCACCAATTGTCGCTGTGTTCCATGAGAGAAGTAGTCCCAGGAGTCTTCTTCTTTGGATTGAAGAAGTGCTGAGATGCAAATAACAGCACGATTCATTCGTCTGCACGTTATCATTCTGATGATGAATAGAGCATCATCACGCCAACACCAGGCAAAGTGTAGTAGAAAGAAATGTATAGTAGTGATCGTGTAATAGAAGCAAACTAGATAATCATTTTTGTTTTGAAGAAATATCTACCGTTATTGCCGTACCGGTATTGGCTTCCAAAAATACATTATAAAAATCTACATTATAGTATTCGAGCAAAAAATTTGAATCCGTTTGACTAGTTTGACTACAGCTATCGAATATGCGTAATATAATATTGCAACTTGACAGGAACACACAGATAGTTTGAGCGAGTTCCTGTCAACGCACGACATCACTTGATAATGCTGGAAGTTGATTTTTACAATGACAAAGGGCGTTTTCTGAGAAGCATGTACGGGGAGATAGAGCTCCCAGATGGAGCCTCGAAGATCAAGATTCATGGCTCGGGTGATAATGTCAACAACGGCTTTCAAATGCTGTTGAACATGCTAAAACGTTATGGAGGGAAGATTAATATGGTATCCTTACACGACATTCAGGAGATCTCACCAGAAATGTTGGCATTCCTAGTTTGGATTGCGTCGAAGACGAATGGATTGGAGGTGTACGATTGTAAGCTTGGCGATTCTGGATTTGCAAGTTTAATGTCAGCAGTGCTCCAACCAAACGGATTGACAAAGCTCGAGTTGACGATAGACAACGAAAGCCCGAGAATAACAAAGCATCAAGCAACGCTGCTATTTGAGGGAGTTGCGCTATCGTCTTCGCTTAAGAATTTGCGCATCGATGCATATTTTGAGGACCACGATTTGAACGAAATCGGTCCAATCCTACTCTATACGTTGAGGCGAAATCGTAGTCTGAAGGATCTCCAATTGATTACGAATTGCTTAGGTAGAGAGGGTTTGATTGGAAGTTTAATTCAGGCTGCAGTCTTGCAAACGAAAGTGACAGATCTCCATTTGGAGCATGCTGACGACACGGAAGAAACTATCAGTTCAATCTCATTGGATACCCTGGCAGATTCTGTATGCCGTAGGGACTGCTCCCTTCGTGATCTTTTGCTTGACAACATATTACTGGAACCTGAAAGCAGTGCCAAAAGCGCTGCCATGGAGAAGAATTCATCCGTGATATGTTTGAACCTCCTAAATGTGGGCATTGCTTTACCCGATGCTATGCCAACTATTCGGTTATTCGACTCGCTAAAAGATTTGGTGCTAATGAATTGCAGCATTTCTGATCTGACGCCGTTGGACGAAATACTCCTTAGAGGAAAGGAGTCGAAACTGGAACGTTTGACATTGAATGGAAACGATATCACTGAACAGGACTTGATAATCTTCCTCGAAAAAGTACCAAGGATGAGATGTCTAAAGTGTTTAGAGTTGGCTGATATGACTTGCCTTGAAGTTACAGAGACCTGCGTTGCTGCCCTAAAGAATGCCGTATGGTCGAGCACGAGCTTGGAAAGCGTATACTACAATTTCGAAAGCGCGTCATTGAAGCAACTTGATTCCATGATCAAAGTTGCAACAACGTTGAACCGAGGTGGACAGAGAAAGCATCTTGACTGCTATCCGATTTCGTTGCCACAGAACCTATGGTCTCATGTTCTCAAGAGAGCGATGACGATCAAGTACTACGATGATGAGGACGAGTGGAAATTGCCAACATTGACCACTCCTTGTTTCGATGCTGTCTACTGGCTGCTTTCGACGAAGATGCATTTCTAACTTTGGGCCAATTGGAAAGATGAATTGGAGCTTTCGGAAGTGTATGAGTTCCATAAGGAAATATTAGTCCACAATAATCTTTACAGCATAAATGGAATCTAATAAATGCAAATGGCTATATATACTATCTCGTTTTCATCTTTTGAAGACAATAAGTTTTAAGAGGAAGATTCGACAAAGGATTTCGATTTGTACCCCTTCAAGGTGACTCGCCTCGCAACCTTGTACAAGATTTTAGCTTGTTGCTGCGTTGGCAAGGTCGAAGAACCCTCCGAATAGACCTTTCTCGACGTACTAAAGAGTTGTGACATATCATTCATCATGACATTGCTGCGAGGTGGCATAGTCTTGTAGATGGACGCATATATCGTCAAACTGTAGAGAAGAGATCCAATGGGGGATGGCTGCACACCACTAGACAAGAACAAGCTGTTGTAGAGATCCGGGTGGTCATCGTAGACAGCAAGAAAGGCATTACCAACAGGAGCAATGCGGGCACTCTGCTTGCTTGACAGATAGGAATCCAAAAAGCTCTTGTACTCTTGTGCTCCGCTGTAGATCATTGATGTAAAGGTAGGAACATCGGTAAGCCCAGTCATGTTTTCGTTGCTGCTCCAAAAAGCATGCGGTTGCACAATGATCGGCTTGGCACTTCCTTGGTTTAGAATGGGCGCATATGTGTAGTTCAGAGCCATCAAAGATGGTTCTCTTGAGAAATCAAACGACATGCGCTTGGCTTGATCGGCCATGACCACATAGTCCCAGGACTTGGTACTATTTTTGCCGCTAATTTCATAGTAGTAATAGTCTTCATCGTTCAGGCATGGATTGTATCCATCGTCATAAAAGGCGCCATTTTGATTGCGATAGACGAGGCTATCATCGGATCCCAACAGCAGTTGTGGGACACTGCAAGCACCATAGTCGTACAGTCCATTGTTGGCCATCACAGCAGGACTGGTGGCCCAACGGCCCAGCATACCATTTCCTGTTTTCAGAATATTCAGCAAACTTCCCTTTTGATGCAAACAAGAATCTTGTGTAATCTTGTTTCCAGAGACATACTGTGTGAGACGAGGAATGTCATTCAACACAAAGTTGATGTTGCCGATGAAGGCAACATTGGTCTTCCAGGCGTAGAAGAAATTGGGATTGAAAGATCCTCCATTTCCAGTTTCGTGTAGCGTTTTCGTTTCGCTAGAAGTCGCGTCAACGATAAGAAGAATGAACATTAGAAATAGGATGGCTGCACCGATCATGGCATTCTCCTTCTTAATGTCAGTCACTCCTTTTGGAAGGAGGAACTTTGGAATCTTGCCCATAATTTCTCCTTCGTCATCATCCTGTTGACGGAGATAGGCGCTTGACTTTTCGATGTCATTGCTTGCACTTGGTGGATCAGATCCATCCTTTTCCGAGCCGCTGGAACCGATTGCATCAATGATCACAGGTTCATCGTCGATTGATGGCTTTGGCTCTGGGCTCTCGACAAGCTGTTGCTGTGGCTGTTGCTGTTGCTTCTTCTTTTTGCGGAAGAATTTCATATTTGCTTGTGTTACTATTATTCAATAATTCGAAGAGACGTCGGATGAGCCTTATTACTTGCAAATGGTAGGTACAGTAGGAGGTGATATTGAGTATGGGCACATTTCGTGATGGATTCGAAATATTTGGCTTCTATTTAACGGCATTCTCTGTTTTACATACCGAAATTATATAGAAATGAAGGTGGTGTTAAAGAATGAATTGATTAACGGTAATTTTGAATCGAAAGGGTCGTATCTCGGTAATAAATAAATTAGTACGCACGTACTTGAGGCTTTGATGCAGGTGATGATTTGTAATCTCTTATGATATCTGCGAAACCATGTAGAGTCATCTTATGGATGGAAATGAAAATCTAGAACAATCTAACTCTTTTAACATGTTGATGAATCCATACCGTAGATTGTAGGACCTAGAATGAATGAATCAATCATGTTGTCAAGCAATGCAGAATTTCTAAACGGATCGAACGAGTCAACTATGCCGGCAGATTTTACTCATGTTGGAAGAGAGGTCACGAGACATCCTCTGACATCTATTGCAACTGGCTTCCATTTGATACCTACTCCCGCCATCAGAAAAGCCAACATCTTCTTCAGTTATGAGAAGAAAGGCACCATTGGCATGGGACAGAACGAAACCAATACATCTAATACTATCAGTTGTCTTATGCTGGCACTCCAATACAGTGGTTGGCTTTCAATCAACACATCATCCTACGTCAATACGAATTGCACCGCCGCCTCTTGCTAAGTGTGACCCAATATTACATCCATCTGATTGTCACAGAAGATCATCAACAACAGCGCTATGTGGGATCAAGGGGTTGCGCGCTTGGTTTGAAGATAATTTTCCGGATTCCACAACACCGATTGACAACACATCTCAGGACTATTTTGATCATGTACTGGTGGACATGAATCAAGTATTGCACATTGTCATGAGACGCAGCCGAAGTCGCGAACAAGCACTTGCGATTCTGATGGGCGAGCTTGATCGACTGATCCAAGTTGCTACACCCACCAAATCATTAGTATTGGCTGTGGACGGTCCACCTGGGGCCGCCAAATTGGCCACCCAACGGCGAAGGCGGTACAGCACGTATGTTCGAATCAGCTGGAAACTAGAACACTTTGAAAAGTTGCGTCTTAGCAAGAAAGAACGGCAAAAACGAAAGCGTTCCTTCAAGCGAGAGCTCGACAGTATTGAGATTACACCAGGGACTGACTTTATGAAATCAATGGAATCTGCCTTGGTCTATTGGGCGTGGCAAAGGCTCATGCTTCGCGACTCGAAACTAAAAGGTGTAGATATTTACATCAGTTCTAGTGCTGTACATGGAGAGGGAGAAATCAAACTGATGGATTGGGTCTGGGAGCATGGACCGTTTTCCCCAAATTCAAATGTCTATTCCAAGCGCAAACCAAAAGACCGGCACGAAAGTATATGCTTCCTCGGAGACGACTCAGATCTCCTATTGGAGGGAATGGTTATCCCGCCAAATTTTGCTCACAATGTGTTTGTTGTACGACAGCAACGTCAGAACCATTTTTGCATTTCATTGTGGGAAACCACACGGACGCTTGCGGAAAGATTGCCGTCTTCGTCGCTGAAGAGCCCAATTGAGAAAACCCGCCAGATTTTCCAAGCACGGACAGACTTTGTCCTGCTCATGATGATGAATGGCAACGATTACCTTCCACGCTTACGAGGAGCACGGGGATTTTCAAGGCTTTTGTCGATGTACATGAAAGTCTTGGCCCAACATCCAACATCTGGACTCATTGAGGCAAACTCGTTAGAGCTGCAGTTGGATTTCTGTATTGATTTTTTTCAAGAAGTTGCGGACTCTATTCCACTAAACGATCGCAATTTCGGCAATGATGATGACGAGGACGACGACGAGGATGACGATGACGATGACGATGCTCAGCGATCGCGAAAGACTCCACTTGGAGAGGTCAATACCATGATGGATTCTGGATTCTTACCAAAGCCAGCGGAATTCAGTGTGCTCCAGGAGATAACTACAAATGGTCATACATCGATTGAAAATGGGGCGGACGAAGGCGACAGTACTCTTGTTCTTGTGCGCATGACCCTTGGCGATGTCGATTCTGACTCATTCCTCGAATATGAGGTTTGGCATGACCCAAACGAACCATACAAAGTTGCAAAACAGCAGTTAGCAGCAATGGCATTGGATGCTTTTCTTGGAACTGATTATGCTGGTGGAACCGATAGCTTTGATGCCGAGGGTGGAATAACCAACAGTGGCTATGCGTGGGAAATTGCCCAAGCCATTGAAGGGAACGTCGACACGTACTTGGGTGGACTGGTATGGAACTTGCAAACATATCAAGATGGCATTTGCGTGGATTATGGGTACAACTATGGGCGCCGCATGTCACCAACGGCACAAGAAATAGTGGACTTCCTTTCTGCTGCAAAGAAAGAAGGACGATGCGTTGGAAAATTGCAACTTTTCGGTGACGATGACAAGACATTCCGTGGCCCGATCTCAGCCGGTCTGTCATGTCTAGCAGCATTACCTTCTGAGATCAACTCCATTGTACCAAGACCATATCGGGACCTACCCCATGACGAAGTCGAAAGTTTCTACGAACAGTGCATGGATCCCACTGATAATGTTTTCGATCTCAAAAAGTTTGAATACCTTTGTGAAGAGAGGCTTTCCAGTATGGACCAAATACCCGAAAATGATAAGCAAGATAGTGCTATGGATAATCCAAAGTATACCGAGGACACCCAAAGCTGGGTTGTCCTATCCAAGTCGAAGTATTCTCAGAAGCGTTCATTCAAGCCACCACAACCTCCGACAAAAAGATTTGGTCAGCTCTTTGGTAAGAAGCATCGGAATTACGTATTGCCTTCGTGACTTTCATCTCTTTATATCTCATCGATTCATACTCTATTCGACACCAGAAAACAAATCTATCAAGATCAGTCACGTTGCTGCTTCTCCGCGTCCGCGTACACGAGCGTCTTGGGGACACAAATTGGCAACAATTAGTCATCCTTATGGGAAATTAGCCGCTGATGGTGACGAAGACATTGAGCAGTTGTTGCAGCAATCCGAATCGATCTTTGCTCTAGGATACAAAGACGGTTTTCAATCAAGAAAAAAGCGCGATGAGCAGGCTCTTGAAAAGCCCAAGAAAAGGGCACCATCGGCATCGCTCGTTGATAGAATGAAATCCTACGAAGTGGAATCCATACCAAACGAGATGCCAAAAAACAAAATTGGTCAAAGCCCAATTGAGATTTTGAAGGCTCTCGCTGACATTGGAATGATCGGAGATTTGAAACTTGATATGACTAGGCCATCTCCAACTGATTTCGCAGCCTTCGATCCTGAGGCCTTTGAACTAACTACGCTTTCGATTCAATCAAGTGATGAGTCAAACAGTGTCTTGAAGGAATCTTTTGCTTTAAGTTTGGATCGTGAGATCAACACGTATCCTCGAAAAATTGTCAAACATCAACTAGGTTCTATGGCGCTGAATCGATTGACTGGATCAAAACTTGATTGGTCAAAGTCATCAATAAAAGATGTCAAGCTTCACTTGATGAACGAGTCAGGATTGAGAAACATTGCGAAGGGAAGTAATGTCGAAGATTGGACAGATCCAATCACTACAAAAGATGGTTCAACCGCAGTCGAGTGCCTGAAGCAGCTTCGAGATATCGAGATGATTGGAAAAACTCGGTTTCTGACAAGAAAAAGTCCTCCAAATTCAGAAATCATGCAGCTCATTGTCAAGCGGGCGCAAAACAAAAGCAAGGGAATTTTGAAAAAGGACTTGTCCTACGAACATACTCGGGATTTTCAAACGCAAACAAAGCGAATTGTGAAGCAGCGGCTGGCGTCGATGGCTCTTGCTGATATTGCTGGATCAAAAATCAAGTGGAACGATTTGACATACCCTGAACTGCGCGACTTGTTGATGGAGAAATCGCAAGCCACCAAATTTTCTCCTCCCACTTCCAAATGAAGTTGAACAAATTTGCTTCATGGAATCGCCTTAGGGTCAACGAACTGTTTCTCCTTCCATCTTTGTCTGGAAAGATCATATTGCAGCGCAGCTTGGAAGACGCTAAACTACAGTGAAGACACTACAGTAGATAGAAACGTTGATTCTCTATTCCTTCTTCATACTTCTGGTACCAAGCGGGCATCGCATCATCTGTAAGCTGCTGTAGCATTTCAAATTGGACAGTAAATCATAAAACTTCAGCTCCACCTACTACTGTCTATATTTCTTATTGTCGACAGGCGAGAGAACACTCCTTGCACCCATGGGTCAAGTGAGCTAGCTTGCTGACGTAGATAATGAAGATGAGGTTGTAATTTGTATTCCCTTCTTCCAACTCTGAAGGTTTCCATTGGAAATTTGATGATGGCAAAGCTGCTAATGAAATCAATCGTCGTCTCAAGTCCGCCGTATCGTATCAGTCTCATATGGTGCGTCTGATTGTTAAAAATGCTAGGTCGGCTGATTTTTAAATGCTAGTCCGGCTGATTCCTTGGAATCACAAAGAGCTTCAAGCTGTGCACCTCATCGCAATGAGTCTTAGCGCTAGTCCCCACACTTTCGTCTCGCCATTTGTTCAGATCCAAGCCAATTTCATCAGACGAGGAATGTCCATGGATTCAGAAATAGCTTTTTATGACGATGGTGCACCGATATGGGGTGTGAAGCATGTCATTATGGCATCAATAGCAGCCGATCTTGGTAAACTGCCAATATCTCACTTCAGAAATCGCGACCATGACATGGTTATATCTTGTCCAATATATGAATTTTTTTCTCGGACTGCCTCCAATAATTCTTTACAGTAGATTAGAATGTTTCTGTAGTGGGATAGTGTTGATATTTGTTGACTTGTGAGACACAGTGACACTTAGATCGATTCTTAACCTTGTCGAGTTAGACTTCGAAAGCGATCGGTCAGTTCTCAATGAATTTGATTCAATACTTCACAGACCACTTCATCCCGCTTACCAAGACGTTTCTTAATTTAGGCGTATGAGATTTTTGCTTGCTAGTTGTTGGAGCATAGCATTCGATCGTCAACCATGAACCATGACATGTCATCATTGATCATTGATCATTACAACCAGTTACAAACCACAACTGTAACCACCCATGCATAATACGGTACCGGTATAGTAGCACGACGAATAAATTGATACGCGTCTGTCAGGCATCAGCAAAATAGGGGTATTAAAAAGTCCTTCAAATCAACATGCAACGCAAATACCACCGCAATCACAAATCATCATTAACATTAACCTTCAACATCCTCGTCTCTTCGTACATCTTTGTGCGTGTGGAACTGAAGCTGAATGAAAAAGCTTGCCGTATTCATTCAGACCCTCCTATCCTCATCATGTATGGAAGTAGTTTCAGCTCTCAGTCAAGATTGCTGCGTTCAAGGCTTATCACATGACTTTGTGATGAAGAATCGAGAGGTGACCATTAAGACTGTCGACTGGAAGGATGGAGAAGGAGTGATGCTTCCATTGCAGTTATATCACACCACAGGTCCATCTATCTCACCGTTTAAGACTCAAACAGATGAGTTGAATAAGACCTTTTCCGAAATAGAATGCCTGTCGTTGGAAGATGTGCGAAAGAATCCAGCAGATTTCTTTCTTTCCTATTCGTCGCGGACGCAGATGGAGGAACACGATACACTTTCTGCTAGACAAAAGCTTCAACTGCTGCAAAAAATTAAAGCTGAGCAAAAAGCTAGACAACCAGTGCCGCTATCGGCTTTGCGGATACTCTACTGTGACGCTGATATTTGTGTTGTGGACAAACCGAGTGGAGTCCTGTCGGTCCCTGGACATCGTCGCAACCCATCCTTGGCAAATCTGGTCTATGATGCACTCCAACCAGATATCGATTTGGATCAGATGGTGGTGCATCGTTTGGATATGGCAACGAGTGGGATACTCGTGTATGCCTTATCGCTTCCAGCCTTGTCCAAGTTGCACTCAGACTTTAAGAATCGTCGAGTCCAAAAGACCTACCAAGCGCTGGTTCACGGACATGATACCATTAAGCAACCCGAAGGGGAAATTGATGTGGATCTAGAACGGGATATTAACAATCCTCCATTCATGAGGGTGGCCCAGCCCAAACCAGACAGCATTGGCGAATTGGATGCAGAAACCAGCAATGGAGACGAGGAGACTGCCAAAGATGGAGCCAATGAAACTGCAAAGCGAAACCACAAACTCTTTCGAGTGGCGCCCAAAGAAAGTCTCACGACCTGGAGCTTGGCGGGCTTTGAATACTTAGATGGGAATAAGCCTGTCACCCGTCTGAACCTAAGACCCTGGACTGGACGGACTCACCAACTTCGAGTCCATTGTGCCCAAGCATTGGGGACACCCATTGTAGGCGATGAAATTTATGGAATGGAGGAAGACTCGGGTGAATGTTCGAAACTTTGCCTACACGCCAAGAAGCTCTGCATATATCATCCCATTTCGAATGCACCGATGGTATTTGAAACTGACACTCCATTTTGAATTGCAAATTGGTTGATTCTTCATGACAGCCTTGTAAGGAGGAAGACCAAATTGCCGAACCACACGATTGTTTGGTTTGGGGAAATCTTTTTCACCATTGCCTTGACGCTGCAAGAACCTCGGTTTGACGTACTGCCTGAAGTGCGAGCGGAACTCGTCCACGCCCGAGCAAGTTGTTACCCTCGTAATTGCCACTGCAACATCCGACGAATGGATGTCCCTTGTTGGTTATGGGCATAGGATGCAATTGAGATACACGGTTCCCTCGAGGAGAATCCGATCGGGATCGTATGAAACGAAATCATTCTGGTCAGTTAGATTCTTAGCAGTCAAGCCAACAGCAAAGCTATGACAGGACTCTAATGCTCAAGATGTTTCGATATAGTTATAGTAGTTCTCATGCTAGAGAATAATGTAATACACATACGTCCAATGCCGTCCTTTGCGCATGTAATCAATATAAAAGTCCGTACCACACCCTCACCAGACCGCATATGCATCTTCTATGAAAATATTGGCCATCTTCCAGATACTAAACATGTCGGACGAGCTCCTGCAGCTATAGTGGTATAGCCGGAATTTTGTAGGCTTGAAACGACATCATCTTCACCCTATCGACGAATGGAAGTAATCGCGCAACAACTCTGCAGTAGCTGCAGCACTGCAAGACGCGTAAGTCTCGTTTACTTTTACCTCTTTTTGCCAATTCCAAACTTGCTCGTGGAAGCTATCCTGACGATCATTGTCTCTTGGGTTCATCCACCCTTCGCATTCAAAATGATCAATGCCTTGAATCAGTGGTTCCAAATCCCAGGCGTTCATTTCCTCTTTTTTGCCATGTACGGCAGTCTCCAGAATAGAAGAAATATATGTATCCAATGAAAGTCGAGTTGGCGGAAAAACATCGAGGATATCCATGATGTGTTGCAAGGTTTCACTTCCATTGGAACATAGCAATTCGTTTTGGGAGACGGATCTTTGATGAAGGCGGTGGCACACTCCAAGTACGTGGTTATCCAATGGATTCCCATGCGCATTTCGCTCTCCCTTGAGCTTTCCAATGGTCGGGTGTGTCTCCATAAACTGAGCCGCGACCGGCAGGACGTCCGAAAGGTAATCGAGTGTGGTTGTGGATACGACATCAACCAATGGCTCTTCCACGACAACCAGACGAACGACATCACCCACAATTTTCTCTTCAACTTTGGATAGTTTCAAAGACAGGTCATCCAATTGACGAAAGGCATCGTCCGTATCGTTCGGTGTCAGTTTGCACAAGACTTGAACGTTGAGTGATGAGCATTGGTCAATTACAGTCTTGCTGATTTGAGAAGAGGACAGCTCAACGCCTTGAAAGCATGACGACTCGCTTGCACAGTCTTGTATTCGTTGCAAAAGCGGGATTGCTGATGCTGATGATTCAGATAGTCGATTTGCCTTGCTAGCTAATGCACGAAACACTGCCAATTTCATGAGGTCCCTTCATTGCTAATATTATAGTTTGACGGTGTGTGCATTCCGAAAGTCATATAAAATAGAGGAATTGATTTGGGGGATACAAACCAACCCACTTTGTTCATGAGTCTCGGATCGTACCCGGTACAGCATCATACTGTAGTGTTACAGTACCTGAATCAGTATTCGTACAAGACATGTAGTAGGTACTGTAAACTATTTATTCTTTTGTTACGTCTTTGTCAAATCTAATGATATTCCAAACTTTGAACCATCGAACTTCGTCAAATCATCTAGCACTAAATCGGCTTCTTCTCGAAAGACTGTCTTTTCCTTTTCGGTGAACCTCGAGTCCGGAATGGCCACGACAAAGCAACCTGCAGCCTTTCCAGCCCTGTAGTTAATATACAAGTGAAAAAAATTGAGCCCAATATTTTATATCTGAAAAGACATGTAATGCCGCGTACTAGTACGCTCTAGTCTAACGTACCTGACTCCTGACAACGCATCTTCAAACACCAAGCACTCTTTCGGATCCACTTTCAGTTGGCGTGCCGCTTCTAGATAGATATCTGGTGCTGGTTTTCCATTCTTTACCGCTGGATCATCCCCAGCGACAATCAGCTGAATATGCTGAAATATGTCCTCGTGCCTAAGACGATGAGGGAGACGACAAAGTTGGTCGGTGAGAGTCAGTCCCCGCTATCACAAATTACACAAATATTCCACGCACCGCATTCGCTTCTTATTCACCCCTGCGTATCTTGAAGAGGTTGCAATTGCCATGGGCATGTTCTTGGCTGCCAATGCACAGACCAATGCTTGAGCACCTTTGCATTTTTCGACTTGATGACACAGTGAATTCAACCTATCTTCCCAATTCTTCCATATTTCAGCCCTGATGTGATGATGTCGTGTATGTGATTAGAAAATTTAATCATCGTCATCATCAATAGATCATGTGCACACACGATAGAATGTATACAGTCATAACTTACGGTGAAGGCGCATTTTCCACACCCCATTTCTCGGCACCATATTTCAAAGCAATTGGAACCCACTCTGCACCCCTCAAACCCAAGAGTTGTTGCTTCAATTCCCATGGAATCTTGTCAATAGTATTTGGTAATGAATCGCCAAATGCCATCAGTAGCGCCTGATCACTCAGACTAGGTGAGAAATGATATGAGAAAGTGGAGGTTTCCCATTCAGTAACGCCAAAGAGGAGTGAGAATCCCTTGTTTTGTGATTTGAGGCAATAAATCAATGCTGAGCTTCCGCATGGGAACTCACCTCTCTGTATCTAACAAGGTCCCATCCAAATCAAACAATATTCCTTTGATAGAAGGTATTGGGCTGCGTTCTCCTTCGTTCGTCATTGCAATACACAACTACAGTATCTCGCACCATGAATTCATCATTTCTCACACTCATTCACATGACTGTCACTCCCTGGCCAATCCAGTCCCGAATTGTCGAGCCTTGTCTGTCTGGCGGGCGGGCCTTGAGCCTGTTGTTGAAACGCTCATGACGCACGCGTACCAGTAAACGTGTACCCTGGTACCAGGTACACGCACGAACGATGCCAGTTGGTGCCAGCAGTACCTGGGCGGGATGTGTACTTACCAGATACCGCACCGATCGTGCCCCTCCTTCAAACTTCTACCGGAGTTTAAATTCTGTTGGCCGCAATTTTGCGGCCTGATGTGGGATTCCTTTTAGTTCCCAAGGCAAAAGCCAGTAGCTTTATGGTAGTTTGCTTAAATACTGTTAAAATACTGTTATATGATACGGTAAACGCGTAGTTCTGGGACTCCAGCCGTTTTGACGAACCGCTCGATAGATTCACGGCAAGATTCCCACCCCCACAAAACTTCAGTTTGACAGTAAGCGGACACAAGCGACTGCCAACAGACTCGCACCATAAAATCACAAATACAACCAATGACCGCCCAAACCATATCAAAGCCACTTTCACAGAGCATCACTCCTCTCATGGCACTTGCGGATGCTGCTCTCAATGATGGAGAAGAATCAGCAGCGTCATCGTCATCTTCGTTGTCCACCTGTTCGCTTTCCGAAGAAAAACAAGATTCGGCTGAAACGAAGCTGATGACAACGCCTCCGATGGACAAGCTTTCTTTTGCGCAACAGCTAATGACATTGCTAGATGATGAATCTTCACCATACCTCAAATGGATGCCAGATGGAAAGTCATTCACCATTAAGAACCCAAAGAAGTTTACATCGGACCAGATGCCCAAATTGTTTCACATTCGAAACATGTCATCGTTTGTTCGAAAACTGACACGATGGGGCTTTACACGTCACCATGAAAAGGAGACAATGAACTCTGACATCTTCAAGCATGCTTGTTTTCAAAAGGGAGAGTGGGATCGTTGTGCCCAGATCAAGTGTGCTACACGTCAACCAGTGTCATTGACTACCATTCGAAAAGACTTTCAAAGGACTCCCACGGCATCCAGACCAGTTTCCATCCCACCTTCAGCTCCACGTCCTGTTTCTCCAGTGATGAGCAAACCAACAACAACAGCACCAGCACAATCTCAGCAATCTCCACAGAATTTCCAAGAATGGAAACCACTTTCGGCGATGCAGCATCACCCAGCCATTGCCATGCCAAGACGGAGTGCGTTTTGCGCTGTGACACCAATGGTAGCGGAGCTTGACTTGATGAAGAAACTTCATCCAACCACGAGGGCCAACTTGCTTACCCTGCAACTGCTTCGGGAAGCATCTCAAACACAGCAGCAACTTACGGATCAAGCCTTGTTGCGTATTCGTTGGCACCTATTCCAGCAAATGGCAAGCTAAGCTACCTGACGAAACACGCACACACATATACAAGCAATTGAATAGACTAATTATAAAATAGAAATGATTTTGATCATCCCTTGACATGTATATACGTAAGGTAAGTAAATTCTACGGCACACGTTCCATGACTCCAAAAATAGATGAACGATTTTTCTTAGGCGAAGATGATAATGGCAGGCGCTAGGCAGCCTGGTGTTGACACACTTAGAACTAGAACTTAAAAGTGAGAATCAGGTGTTATTAGGCTACGAATACAAGTGGCCTCGCATGATGAAAGACCATCAAGATCATCAACACCGATGAGAAAGGATGTGATGATGATGTTGGTGTGAGAATTTCGCGAACTGACGTTTGGTGATGATGTCAAATCTTGAAGTGCCGATGCCTGAAGTCGGATTGAAGCATTCGTGGGAGTCAAACCTCTCTGACGTCAACCATCTTTTCTATTTAACGACCATTTTCTGCTACCGCCGGTGGAAGAGTCACATTTCTTCCTTCATCCGCACACCACGCTTGCATCGTTTTCTAAAAATGCAACTGCAGTAGAAAATGCAACTGCAGTATCTTTGCACCATCAGCAATCACCTATGTCAGGTTTCGTTTTATATTAACGAATTATTGCCGTGCACAAAATAATGAATACAACTTCCGTAACGAATCAACAGCGAATGGAAGATGAGCTTGACGCTGCTCAGCTGAGACAAACAAGTGATCTGAACAAGAATTTAAGAGCGGGTGCTGGTGAGGGGTCCTTGCTTCATTTGTATGAAAGCAGACTACGTCGGCTAAAGCAATATGAAGAAATTGTGTATTCCAGATACCATGGCGCAATCCCCGGAGAGTTGGAAGAAGACTTTTTCCAAGGGCCGAATCCAGCAGACAATCTGAATGCTAAGGAAGAAGAAGAGCAGAAGCCTTCAGCGGAGCCATCAAGAATAGAATCGTTGTCCAAGAACAATGCTGCTGCTGGCCCACCTTCTGTCATCAATATTGACGACCTTGAGACAGGCACATATGAAGACATTTCGGTATCTACTGGATTAAACTCCTTATTGACTTCAAGTATCATTGAACCAAAGAGCGAGATGGCACAAGAAGAACAAGATGGTTTCCATGATGACCGAGGCGGAGAATCCCAAGGAACCATCCACAACAGCGGAATCCATCCAAGTGGCCACAATAGTAATAATACATTTCATGTATCTCGGCGGGAACCTTCCAAAGAAGAAGAAGAAGACAACAATGGTAGCGACGAGAACGATACCATTAATCGAGCATACACATATCAGGCAAGTTCTGATTCCAAGTTTGAGGAGTATTCGTGTTTGATTGACCCAAAAAGAGATGACCGAGCGGTAGAGATTATGCTATACTCTGCCAAACGACCGCATATGCGAGCCTTCCATCTTTCATGGCTTGGCTTCTTTGCCGCATTTTTCAATTGGTTTGGAATTGCGCCGCTCATGAGTCAGGTCGCTCATTCTCTGAGAATCAATCGAACGCAAGTATGGACAGCCAATACTATGGCTGTTGTTGGGTCCTTTATTACTCGAGTAATGGCAGGACCACTCAATGACATATATGGCTCCCGAGTTGTAATTAGTGTCTCGCTCCTAATATCTGCAGTTCCGGCAATATTATCAGGAGTATTGATCCATGGAGCCGTCAGTTTGTACATTGTCCGGTTCTTGGTTGGAATTGCAGGCTGTGTCTTTGTCACTTGTCAGTTTTGGACCGCGTCCATGTTCACAACCGAAGTGGCTGGAACCGCTCTCTCGCTCACAGCAGGATGGGGAAATCTCGGGGGCGGCTTCTCCCATCTTGTCATGGGATCACTGCTATTTCCTCTCTTTAATCTCCTCTATGGTGGCGATGGCTACAAGGAAGTTCAATCGTCAGTCTTTCCCAACGACACAAACTTTGAAACCAACAAGCCATCCGATAGGGCGTGGCGTACAATCTTAGCCATTCCAGGCATTTTGTCACTTGTAGTCGCCTACCTTTCATTCAAACATGCTGACGATACTCCGAAGGGAAATTTAGGCAAACGAAAAAAGCTTGGCTTGATTACTCAAGAATCTGTTTCGAAGGCACTGGGACGGGCCGCCAATGATAAGAATACATGGCTCATGTTCTTTCAATACGGCTGCTGCTTTGGAGTGGAACTTACCATGACGAGCGCCGCCTCTCTGTACTTTCAAGAAGAATTTGGCCAGTCCACTGCAAGTGCCGCTGCTATTGCATCCGTCTTTGGATGGATGAATTTGTTTGCTAGAGGACTTGGTGGATTCTGTTCGGACATGGCGAGTGCAAGATATGGAATGAGAGGTCGCCTGTGGGTTCAAATGTTTACTCTTTTCTGTCAGGGAGGCCTTGTTTGCGTATTTTCTGTTACAAGTACACTTACTTCGGCGATTGCTGTTATGGCACTTTTCAGCATCTTTGTTCAAGCGGCAGAAGGGTCTTCGTTTGCTATTGTGCCGTATATTAACCATGATGTGACAGGTTCCATTTCTGGCATTGTCGGTGCTGGTGGCAATTTCGGAGCCATTGCATTTTCGCTGATCTTTCGGCAGACACAGAATAGGACAGCTTTTTTTTATATGGGATGTGCCGTGGTGGCAAGCTCTCTGCTTTGTGCTTTTGTCACGATTGATGGACACCGGTCACTCTTTTTTGGAGAAGATGCAACGGAAGTCAAGGAGCGAAGAAGTGCGCACGCAGGTCAACTTGGGAAGCTGCCTACTGTGGACTTTAGGAATTCTGAGATGCAAAAAAGGAGAAATATTATGGCGGAGAGTAGTGTTGAAGAAGAATCTAGGAGGACATTCGATAACGACGATATCATTAGTGTGCACGGGGCTTCTTTCGACGATGTTGTCTCAGGCACGGAAGTTGCGAACGCATAACACCAGTTTTGAAAATTTTGTTCATTTCTGCACCATATTCAATAGGTAGGATCTAAAGTATTTTTTAAAAGGTCACACATTGATAGAACTACCTAGGACAGGTGACGAGCGAGGATCCTGCAGCTGGAGTCAGTCACGTGATAAACCAACTCCCTGAACCTGCCATATAGCAGCATTGATTTCAATGATAACCATGTTGGGCTAGCGATCCTTTTCATGCTATGAATTCGAAGGACTGTTGTCCCGTACCTACGCAATCAATTGCTGAAAAAGGAAGGTGGGAGAAAAAATGCAGTCATTCATGTATTCGCGTCTACGTGCTTTTTACCACTATTAATACCACTGACATTGTGATACCGAATGGGCCTTTGTTGCGCGCCGGCGGCATTCCCAAATAATGACCATGATAAGTCGCAGAGGGGTTTGAAGTAGAAGGTAAAAACGTCGAGTATCTGGATGGGACAACAACACTTGCTGCTTCACAGACTGCACTGACAGATTTGACAGATTACATTGCATCACATTCGTTTGTCGTATCAAGACCAAGGCTTTATTTTGCTTGAGTCCGTCAGAATCTCCCTCTGATATTCCACATATCATTAATCTGTTGCTATCCCGTCGACAAAATTCAAGCTTCCGCATAAGCCCGCAAAAGCACATTTGGACCGCCTCAGACTACAATTCATCGTCCTGATGGCACCAAATATTGATGATCCGTTTGCGGTTCTTGGCATTGCAAATGATGCCTCTGAGGCGGAAGTTAAGAAGGCATACCGAAAGTTGGCGCTGAAGTATCATCCTGATCGTCAAAATGGAAAGTCGGACGAGGAAATTGCTGCAGCCAGTGACATGTTCGTTAAGATTGCTGAAGCTCAGGATATGTTGACTGATCCGGTGAAGCGCTATGACTTTCGAATGAAACAAGAAGCGCAAGCAAACAAAATATCTCCCTCTGCCGCCAATCGAGGAAGGCCTACACCGCCAGGGTCGTCGTCAGCAGGAACAAGGCGTCCCACAGCCAAGGCATCTACAGTTCGAAAACCTGTCCCTATGAACCGACAAGCATCGACTAGCTCCATGCGCCGCGGGCATTCGCCACGATCCATGAATAAGAAACAAGGATCGGTTCGAGCTGTCAACAAGCCCGTTTTGGGTCGCAACTTAAGTGATCAGCCTCCAAAACGTGTCACCTCCGTGGGCTCGCTAGCATCACGGTCAGCACATGTACCTCGGACAAATCCCAACCGCATGCAGCAGAATTCACCGTTCAATCCTCATAAACCACCACCAATAACCCAGAATCGATCCAAAACTGCCAACATGCTTCGAACACCCAGCAACGCCAGTATGATGTCGAAGAAGAAAAAGAAGAAGCCAGCTGAAACTACATATACCTTTGTGCGCAACAATGGCAAAACTCCACCATTAGCAACACCTGCTTCCGGAGATGCCAGCCCCAAAGTTAAGAAAAAGAAAAAGAAGAAGAAAAAACCTGAGGCTGAGCAAACCTTCACTTTTGTGCGAAACAACAAAACCAGCGATGTACCCAAGAAAAAGAAGAAGAAGAAACCAGAGGCGGAAAGTGAGCAAACCTTCACTTTTGTACGAAACAGCACCAAAAGTCCTAAAGTTGATAGTACCATCAAAATGAGAAGAAGGAACAGTAATGACAGCGCAAAGAAACAACAAAAAGCCGACAAGAGAACGAAAATGAAGAAAAATACCGGTTCATCCGCCCTGGATTCCTCGTCTAGGTCGTTGAAGAGTAGTAGAAAGTCACCAGGTGCAGCAAGTCGAGCAAACAGAATAATGATGTCGCCCCAGCAGGCTCCCCGAAAGAGTATCTTGGGCTTTGGACGAACCTCTGTGCAAAATACGCCTCAGTCAGCGAGGGGCAAGAAAAAAGCAATGGGAATCAAAGGTTTTCTGGGGCGACCGCCGATGGAAACTAGCAATGGATGAGAAATATCCTCCTCATCATAATCAATATTTGGGGCTACTGAAAGCAGTATATACCGATGGATGGAAAGTCCCAAATGACAAGGTCTGCTGCTGGTAGTTCGCCGAAGAATGGTTGCGCCAGAACCAGCCGCGTTATCCTCAAGTCACGGTTGAACGAGCAATTCACGAAGTCAAGGCGATGGAACTCGAATCTCACATGAGCGCTGATAGGATTGAGATAGAAGGTCTGAAACCATGGCAGCAGGTGACAGAAAGATTGTTATTGGAACTTTTCTAGTTCTTTTCTGAAAACGCAGATACACTCATTTCAGATCCAGCCTAGAGGTTTAACGCGGCAATAAGGATATGCTGTAACATGTTAGAGCAGCAGTTACACGAAATAGCAGTTGGAGAATTATCTTCTAGCTACAGTACCGGTAGTGGTATTGATCACTCAGTCCTTTTTGCGCTTATCAACTTTGAGTGTAGCAGCGACGTACAGACGCCGTCTAGCAACCTCAAAATGAGAATCATCAAGAAATTGGCCTCCATAACACATCTCTTCGTCGGACTGTCACTGTCTCTCTGTCATCTCAGATTGCCTTTATTTGTTTCTCTTCCTTCCCATCTAGAAACAAAAGAAACTCGCGGTTTGTTCATCTGGAAATAGATTTGACGACACAAGAAATCACAACAGCAACCGCAAGTCCACACGCAACAAACCTTCCAACTTCGTCCTCACGAATTGAGAATAGTCAATAGAATGTCCTTTGTGCGTGCAGTACGTCTACGAGTTCCATCGGCTGCAGCAAAGCCTGGTCCAGCTATTGGACAAGCTCTTGGTCCGTTGGGAGTTAACATGGCCCAATTTTGCAAGGACTTCAACGAAAAATCCGAAGGCTTGTACGAACGTGATACACCCTTGCGCGTCGAATTGAGAGCCATGTCTGATCGGTCTTATGAATTTGATATTCGAAGTCCTCCGACGGCTTGGTTGGTCAAGAGGGCGGCTGGTATTGATAAGGGGCCCGATGCTCCCTCCCCAAGCACACCATCTGGATTCATTACGCCAGAACAAGTTTATGAAATTGCTGTCATCAAACAGGCCGACGGAAACCGATGGCATTTGCCCCTAGAAGGAATTGCTAGATCAGTCATTGGCACCGCCAGGAGTGTAGGAGTACAAGTGCAGGAAGCTGAAGAATAAATCTGTATTTATTGAATCCATCTATACTTTTTATCGTTATCACTATCGTCCCTGACTCTTGTGCTTCAAAATCTACAACAACACATACATATTCCTACTTTGGTTACCACCTAAAATCAGACTAAGTCTTCAAGATTCATTCCTACTATGACTGCATGATAGAATGGGAAACGTGGCAATACCAAATATAATTAGACGTCTACTTGTAGGCACATTGCAGAATATCAGACAAAACACCAGTTGCGGTCACATCTCCGCCAGCTCCGGCTCCTTGGACGACTAGCGGTCGCGTGTAAAAGTCAGTTGTCATGGCAACCATATTATCTGGACCTGCATTGTTGAAAGGATGAGATGCCTCACAAGACAAGAGGCCGACTTCTACCTTCTTCTCTGCGACGATAACTTTGGCAGCATAGTGCAGTCGCCCTCCCGCCGCCTCGACAGCTGCGACCTTTTCTGCCATGCTGGCATCAAAGTTGGGCAATTGCTCCATAAAATCGGGTACACTACAATCCTTCAAGGATTCGGGAACCAAGGATTCAATTTGCATGGCATCCAATTCAATGCCTGTTACACCTGCCAAACGAGCTAGAATGACAGCCTTGCGAGCCACATCCATTCCATTCAAATCGTCTCGGGGATCCGGTTCCGTGTATCCCAGCTCTTTCGCTTGTTTGACAGCTTCGGAGAGTGTTGCCTTGCCACCAGCGAGTTGTCCGAGGACAAACGCCAAGGTTCCACTAAGAATTCCTTCGACCGTGACAATGCTATGAGAAGATGCCTTCAAACCTTGGAGGGTACCCAGTACCGGCAATCCAGCACCAACAGTAGTTTCATGTAGCAATCTACTATTTCCTTCCTTCGATGCCTTCAGCAATGCTTGGTACTTGCTTTCGGGACCGGCAAAGATTCCCTTGTTGGCGGCCACAACGGAAATTCCCTTTTGAAGCCAATCTTGATAATGTTCTTGCACCTGACCCGAAGCTGTGACATCAGCAATCACTGGGATTCCATTGCAACTCTTGCATTCTTCCAACAATTTATCGCGTAAGACCGAGTAATCTATGGAAACATCATCTCCGTTCTCTCCCAGTTTCATGGTTTTGCTTCGGACCTAAAGGTGATAGATGGGGTGATACAAATGTTGGTGAGAAAGGATGACGTTCAAAAAATCTCTAACAGCACAATCATATCCGCATAAGATCAAGTCTGATTATTTGAAAAAGCAGAAAGAAGTCTTCAATGCACTGATGTTTTCTTTGTTCTTACCAATGCATACGGCTTCAGGTCAATCTTCTTCATTGCCTTAAGGAGACATGTTCCGACACCTCCAGTATATCCGACTACAGCCACCACAAGTTTACTAGCCATTTCGATATGTGTATAATTTAGTGGAAGATAAGTTTTCGATATGGTGAATCACAAAAAAGGATAACACAAGTGACCCAGCTTGCTTATTCGTGATAATGATTATGATCAAGAAGATCGTTTGAGGGAGGCGAAATTTTGCATTGTAGATCGACTCAGTGGACTGGGCCAAATCAAACTGTGCAGAACTGACTGACGCACGAAGTTCTGTAGCGTACGGTACAGTAGAGTGTAGATACTGTGTGTGATGGGTTGCGCCGCCCATCAGTCGCATCCGCGTTTTTCGTTTCCACCATCGAGACGTCTCTCTCTCCCACCTCTCTTTTTCTGTGAATCAGACAACAGGAGGCAATAAGACTCCATCTCGCTCATTTTCATTTCACTTTTGACTTCACCATCTGAAGCCTTCACAGGAAGAAGCTTCCACAGCATCATCACCATCTGATATCCAAACCTTCAGCTTTTAATATACTGAATTCATATTATACTCGAACTACAAAATCCAACAGACAAGAGATGTTGATACTGAAGAGAAGAAATGAATGTTTTCTAGCAATATTACTGCTGCATCAGGCAGGAGCCTTTATGGGAGGGCGAATAAAATCACCCTCAAGCACACCATCATCCTTCGACGAGAATCCCTTGTTTGACACACGCACTCATCTTTCCTCGCCTGCTTCAACCTCATCTTGGACGACATCTCCTCATCGTCGAAGAAATATGTCACTGACACGGGTTGCCCTGGACCCCCTTACTGAATCGTCATCATCTCCACAAAGCGAAAACGAAAACGAAAAAGAGGCTAGTGTTATACCGGATTCTGATCAATCATCGCGGAACAAGAGATCAGTAGGACGAAAGCAGAAACCACTTCGCTACAATACTGCCATGGGGGATACTCAGTTCTTGCGCAAACGAACTGACGATTTGCTGCGAACGACTTCAATGGACAACCTCGATGACGATGGCAACATCATCGTGCCCAGTTTAGGGTTGAAAGTCAAGACGAAAACCTTTCACTTTCTGATTGATGCTTGGGCTTTTTCCGGAGAAGTAGATGCTGCCGATCAAGCGCTCACATTGCTCGATCGAATGGAAGAATTGGAAGACATTGACTGTCCTTCCAATGTAAGACCCAACGTTAGAAGCTATACCAAGGCCATCAACGCTGTAGCCAGATCTATGCGACCTGATGCTGGTGAAATTGCTGATGGTCTTCTAGAAAAGATGGATGTCCTTAGCACATCTGGGGCAAATCCCTTGGCCAAGCCTAACGCGTTTACCTACACGGCTGTGATTGAGGCCCATGCCAATAGTGGCGCCACTGGGGCTGCCGAAAAGAGCGAGGAAGTTTTGGATACCATGATTCAAAAGTTTGAAAACGGTGATAAGGATGTCACACCCACCTCACGATCTTTCAATGCTGTTATTAATGCTTACGGAAAGAGCGGAAACCCCGGATCTGCCGGCCAAGCAAAGCATCTCTTTGATCGCATGAGCAATCTGTACAGGTCGGGAGTTCAAGGTTGCAAACCAAACACTTTTGATTACAATAGTCTTATCATCGCTCTAGCCAACTCGGGAGAAGAAGGTTCCGCAGAACTGTCAGCAGAAGTCTTGAAGCGAATGGAAAAGACCTTCAATACGGAGAAGACTGACTGTAGACCAACCACGGTCACATACAATGCTGTGATCAATGCCTTCGCCAAGAGCGGTAACAAGGATTCTGCCCAACGGGCGGAAGAAATTCTTCTCAAGATGGAAAAATTGTACGAGGCGGGAGAAGATGTCCAACCAAACACGCGATCCTTCAACTCGGTAATGAATGCATGGGCCAAGAGCACACAAGACGATGCAGCAGACCATGCTCAAGAGTTGTTTGATTTCATGAATGGATTGTACAAGAAGACCAACAAGTCTGTGAGGCCAGACGTACACAGCTTTTGTACCGTCATCAATGGTGAGTAATTTTGGGGTGACGTTATTGTGATTTCATGTCCTCGATCAGTGAACTCATACCACTTTCATTCCACCCACACTACTCTACTTCTCTTTGTGATTCATCCAACTCTTCACGATCAAATCACAGCCTGGGGACGTAGCCAAAAGGCCGGCAAGGCAGAGCATGCCAACGACATCTTTGAATCAATGATGAAGCAATACAAGAACGGAAACAAGACTCTAAAGCCCAATGTTGTTGTAATCAACGCTGTGATAAACGCCTGTGTCTACACCTATGGAGATTGGGATGAGCAACAACGCTCCATGGAGATTGCGCACAACCAACTCAAGCTACTAGAATCATCTGACTATGGAATCGCCGACCATTTGACCTACGGATCCTTCCTGAAGGTCTGTGCCAACCAAATGCCAGACGGTGACTCTCGGAGGCAAATCTCTGAAGTGATTGTCAAGAAATGCATACGAGACGGCCAATTTGGAAACCTCGTTTTGCAACAGCTACGAACGATGGGGCCACCAGATATGTATCAAGCGTTGGTGGGACGGAACATAGAGGAGGAGATCACCTTGGAGGACCTTCCTTCAAGTTGGTATTCCAATGTTGTGGAAGGAAAGTGGGCCCGTCGAAGGAATTATTAAAATGTATCAGAAGCAAAGCATATGAGCAGTAATAAGTGTATACTGATTGATGCATTTTCTT